TTTAGTCATTTTAATTGCAGGTACATTTTAATTATGCAAAGACCGCAAAAATTGGATTTAATTATTTGCTCATTACTTGTCTAACTGTCTGTCAGCAATGCAAATATTTCAAGTGCTGTCTGCACAGCAATTGAATTGAAATGTTTCCATATGTATATAAATCAGTAATTTTATATTTATTTGCATAAGTGTCGCGTTTATGTTGCACTTTTGTTTTTATTTCAGTGAACGTCAGATTTAATTGAAATGTATTTCTATTTATACACAATTGCATTCAATTAATTACATTTTATCTAGCTGACTATGCTACGAGATTTGCTTTTATCTAGTATGTTACAAAGAAGCCACAACATATCCGCTTATACAGGCACAATAATTTACCTGGCCCGTGTTTTAGGGCGCAAATAAAAAAGGCCCTCTGATAGTAATGACACTGAATAAAATACCCAGTGAACTGCTCTAGTGTGGGTTGGGGTTGATAGCATACGCAACAATGACAACAAATCGCATTATTTTGCCATCTTTGGGCAATTACGTGGCCAGTTCAAGTGGCATTAGCCACAGTCCGTATTAGCCACAGTCAGCGGGCCAATTAGAGTCACAATACGCAGCACAAAGTTAATCAAGATCCTCTCGAAAGAAATTCAAGACCAACTTAAAGTTAAAGTCAAAATAAAGTTACGTGTCGCTGTCACGTCCCCACCCCCTTCCCCCTCATTCGCCTCGCCCTCCACCGCATAAAAAACACTTTGGCAAATCATTGTCTCAAGACAAGCTAGTAAATTGCTCCAACTGGAAGTTGGGGGAGATTTCATTCAGTTACTTTTTTGTATTTTATTTTATTTTGTTGTCTGTCGAAAGACAACTCATTCGCATTGGTAGTAGTTTCCCAAGCTTTTCGCGCTTGTTCTGACAGCGGTCTGTACAGGAAAACGGATGGGAGTGGGGTGAGCGGCCAGGGCGAAAGCATTTTTATAGCAAGTCAAAAACCTATTAATGCTCAGCCAGCGCGTTCAACTTGTTACAATTCTTTACGTTTGACTCTGTCTGTTTTTTGGTGCTTCCGTTTGTTTGCGAACTTTTTTTTTTTTTATAATACACTGTAGTATTTCATTTTATTTGGGGTATATGTATGGTGACAGGCACAACGTCCAGCTACTCAACTGTTCAGTTTCGTGTATTTCGATTTTCGTATTGGTTGTGAAGAACAATTATTAAATGATTTTCTCGAGTATTCCTTCGTCAATTATTAATTGCAAATCAACAATGCTTCAAATGTTGTTACAAATAAAAATACCATGGGAGACATACAAAATAATACAACATTTTCATAGGGCATTTGCTTGGACGGTCATTTTTAACTTTGATTTGTTAACGTTTCTATTCGGTTTTTTATCTACTACATAGCTATGACTGACAATGTGCAACTGTTCCCTAGAGCATTCCTTAGTCAGTCACTTAGAATTTGTATATTATTATTTATTTCAACAATTTCCGCTAGTTGTCTTTTCTATGTGGCTTTTGCATTAGACTCGATTCAGCTTTTAGTTTAAGGGTACGAGTTTTGAGTTCTCTGACTTCTGACAACCACACGAATTTATCTGCTGTGTGTATCTGTGTGTATGTGTCATGTGGCGCATTGTTTGATACGATACAAATTACAGTTACCATCCCGCTGCCGTTCACCCCTCCAACCAACTATCTGTTCACAAAATTTGGCACTGTGTCGCAACGTGAATCGATACATGGCAGCAATAGCGGCAGCAAATTTCATAAATAGCTTCATGTCAGTTGAAATTTTTGACTTTCAGCTTTGACAAGTTGTACACCCTTCCCCGCTCAGCCCCCTCGAATCGCTTGTCATTTGGGAGTAGCGTACATGAGGCCCGAAATGAATCAATTTCAATTAGGGTAAGTGGAGCACCTACACCGAGCACCGAGTACGCCTCTCTGTATGAGCAATCAGTAATTAAGCTGCGTGTGCAACTGTCCAGGATCATTTCGTTTAATTCAATCAGGCAGTGCGAGCTTACATCAAATGGACATTGGCACGAGGACTCCGAGGACGACGACAACGAAGCGTCACGAGTTGAAATAATCACCGGAAATCTGTGAAACGGAAATGGACTCAATTATGGTAGCCAAAAATGGACGTTGGCGGCACAAACAATCATGGCATCGCTTTTAGTCGAAAACAAAATGGTTCTTCGCTCCGTGGCCAATTGCAAGTCCCAAGCCCTCGACTAGCTGTTCGGCATGCCAATGGCTCATTAATTCGCGTTCATAAATTACGCCGGGAAAAGGAGAGGCGTAAAGGTAAACGTACAAATCAATGCAATTCCTCACCATGTTTAATCAAAATGTAGGCGAGAACTTTGGCTGAAACAAGCGCCTCAATTTGCTTATCACAAAAAAAAACTCGTCAGACAATTTGGGTATTAATCTACACAATAATAAATTATTGAAAATCGCGGAGACTGTCATAAATTGTTACGCATTTTTGGGGACTTTTTCTTGCCACTGGGGATTTTCTCATAATCTCATGCTTTTAGCTTAAGAACTTTGTGAATGGAATTTATAGCTTAGGAATTTTTTGTTGTCTTGGAAAATAAACGACTAAAAATATAATTTGTATAATATTTGAGTTAAGAGTTGCAGCAAAATATAAACAGTATTCATCAATTTATCGGATCTATTTATAAAACACGGATTAATTTATTTAAGAACACTTCAGGAGTATGAGTGCTATTTTGTGTAAGTATACTAGTCATAATAATAAGATAAGTTAATCCTGTTACGTATTATATCTCTCAAGGTTTTATAAGCTATATAGTAACCCATATTTCAGTAGCTGGCAAAGCTATAAAGCGTACAATAAACGAACAATAAACTTAATAACAAATGCTAAAAACAATCTAGGAAACTAATTTTATCTAATGAAAGTTTCGACGAGAGCTGGATAAACTTACACCAAACACACAAGTTACGCATACGCCCACTGTGCGTTGTGGTAATGGAATCAGTTGCCAAAATCCGACAAATAAAACAATTTGAACATTCAATCAAATATCAATACTTACAATTGTGGCCACTTATCAAAAAGAGAGAGAGACAGAGCGAGAAAGACAGGGAGAGAGAGAGAGGAATAGAGAAATAAAGACGACAGCGATTGCGGCTTTGGTTGCGCCTGCAGCACGGTTTGTTGCAGATAAACGGAGTCAAACATTGGCCCAATTAATGTCACATATACACACACACACATACACACCCAAGGAATATAAATTATATTTGAGGTGCAAGTGGTTTTTATTCAACTCTGCCACCACAAACCACCACAATCTGAGACATTTGGAAACTTCTGTTCTTGAGCACAATTTGCATGGCACATGAGTTTGTAATTGAATTAGTTTTAATACGATATGCGGCACATTTTGATAGTAGTAGCTGCAAATCGCTGATAAGAGAACGTTTTACTTTTGTTGTTGTCGCTGGTGTTGTTGTTGTTGTTGCATTTATGAGCGCACAATTGTGCACAAATTGCTTGCACAAAAACTAAACAGAGGCAATGCCAAAAATATAAAATCAGCAGCAACAACAACTAGAATGCAGCGTAAACAAAAACAAAACGTATTATTGTGCGAGTTTCTGATTTTGCCTTTTGTGCTTTTATTTTCGAATTTCGAATTGTTGAAAATTATTTGCACTGCATTTTGCCACTACAGTGAATAGGTCGAGCAGTAGCGGCAGCAGCGGCGGCCGGGCATCGGCATCGTGTAGTATCTGTGAGATACGCGATAAAAAGCTTACCAGCTGTTTTTTTTATTTGTCTTTTTTTTTTTACCTTCTTTATTGTCGCGTCAATTTTAGCAGCAGCTGCCACATGCCCCTCGCACGCCGAAAAAAAGAACCACAAAATTACTGAGAAAATGCAAATAACAATAAAGATGCGTTTGCTTAGCGTTAACACTCTTGGAATTGCGAATAAACGCTTTACGCTGACCGCTGCTCGCGATGTCCGATAGCTGTATAAACCGTTACGTTCTTAACGCGTCGCATGAACTTTTCAAACTGAGACCTCAGACCTCAGACAAGCCAGCGAGCGAGCGAGCGAGCAAGCAAGCGAGCGAGCAAGCGAGCAGTCGAAACGAGCGCAACGAGCGTCCCGCACACGAGCGACAAACGAAGAAAATTACGACGATTCGCCGGTCACCGGCAGAAGCGAAAGCAGCAACAGCAACAGCAACGGCAAAGGCAATGGCAATGGCAACGGCAACAGCAGCCGCAACCCCGGCAACGAAGGCATCCAAAAAGGAAATGTGGATATGGGGTGGCGCTCAAATGTTTGAGTGATTGTTCGTCGACATTTTTGAGTGAAAATTTACAGTGCATGCAAACTGTTAACAGCTGCGACGCAAATCCAAATACTTTACACTGTAACCCTTAAAAATGATTGATGATAAAACGTTGAATTCCTTGGATTTGTCACACGAATGTTACAGGTAAATGCCTCGAGGTCCTGGATGAGTCAGGCTGCAAAAGCTTAAACCATTCACGAATATGTTTCAATTCTACCATTAATAAATGTTGTAAAATTATGGAAGCGAGTGAAAACTACACTGTCCCACGAAATTCTGCAAGTATACGAGTATGTGTTATTAGAGGATTTTTCGGCTTTCCCCTGAAAATATACCTCAATTTTATTTTATTGAGTGCAGTGATAGCGAATGCATTTTTCGATTTCCCCATAATCCTTGCAGTTCGATAGGTTCTCATCGGATTCTCTCTTTAACAGATTAACAATGTTGTATAAAATTACACAAGAGAAGTTTTCATCTCAAATACCCCTGTAGTCCTTTTAACCAACGAGGTCTGCCTATTGGAAAAAAACAATAAAAACGACAATTTCTTACAATAAGGTCCTCTCCTGGCGGATCCTGGCATGTCAAGTGCCAATCATTTGGTTTTGATTCAGACTCATTTCCGTTCGCATTGTAAATGAAATTTTTTATTTTGGTGTTTTATTTAAAAAACAAGCTTCTTGATTGCATGTATAAATACTACATGGGTTAATAATTTGTCAAATAGTAATATAAGAATTTGTATAATTGATGGCTTGGCATTTAATATTCAAAATATTAAGTGTACTTTTTATGTGTAAACTCTTACAAAATCACATATACTGCTGCATCACTCACTGGTCGTTCTTATTTTTGTTTGTTTTTCTTTTTCTTTTTGGTATTAAAAGCATCAAAGTATTTACCAAACTTAACAGTGTCTTAGGCTCAACATAAATGACTAATGACTACAATCAGGCACAATGTTAGGAAAAAAATTAGCTGAAGAAGTAGACCGAGCTCAGAACATTGTTCAGATCAAAGTCACCTTTTTGTGGTAATTGCCGCAACGTGCGATTCAACTGACGCTTGGAAAGATCCTCAACAGAGCCATCGTTGGTGAAGTCGCTGCAAGAAGTTGAATATTGTGATTAGTCAGTGTAATTAACAACAAGCCGACAATGTGTAACTTACTTATCACGAAAGCTATACGTTTGCCGCATAAACTCAGACAGCTTTTCTAGTATGGGTTGCGAGTGTAGAGCAACGAATTGCTCGCGACAGGCGCGATTCAGTTCGGGCACCCTGCACGCATGTGTCCAGAAACAGTCGTGGACAGAGACGAAGGTAATACCCTGTCGTTCGCAGTGGAGCGAGGTGAGCATCATGTGCGACGAGTCCAGCGAGTGGATGAAATTTGGCGGAAAGGCGTTCTTCTGCTTGAGTATATTGGGACGCTCGTACATATCCATTGGCATGTTTGCATTCACGCGCAGTCCACTGTTGCGCAGGACAGGCTTGGCCTCCTGCCGATTGTAGGGCTGCACAACGGGCAAACCCAGCGGCGTTATCCACTCCACATTTTGACTGCAGACGCCGGCAATGAGTCGCGCACATTCCGTGAACCAGTCTTGAATCTCACGCGTTGAGGTGAACATTTCGCGCAGGCTTTCAAAGGTCTTGGTGGTCAAGTATGTGGACGCTGGCCACACCCAATCTTTGGGAAAATCATCAATGTCTTTCAATTGCCGTGCAATTTGTAGACGCGCTCCGTAACGAGTGACACCATAAACTGTAGTCATTACCGTCTGCTTGATCACCTTGCGCCGCACGAAACCTTCCAGAGCCTGCGCCACATGCAGTCCGCTTTGGGCATCTGTTTTGCGTGTGCGCTCCACCATCGTCGCCACAGCACTGTACACATCTTGGGGTATGGCAGAGGGTGATAGATTCACACTACACGCGCCCGCCTGATCTCGGCCGAGTGCCGCATAATGTTGCAGGCCATTGCAGGAGCCATCCTGATGGATGGGAAAGCGACTGAGATAGGCGGCAGGATCAGGTGAACGTTGCACCTTGGCAATCTCCATGCAGCAGCCAAGCGTTTGCCACGGCTCATCGGATTTGGCCCACCACATGCGACCCGTTAACGGATTGTCTGCCGAGTCCAGAATGTCGGGCATTATCTCCTCAGCGTACAGCAGGCGCTCGCGCACTGAGTCGCGCTTCTTCATGCCCGTCAAATTGATGCAGTGCAACTTCAGCCAGCTGAAGCCATCGACGCCCAACGGTTGTGCCTGATCAAAAATGAGCATCGATCGAGCCAAATCCGAGCCCAAGTGATTCAAATGCGGCGGGACGGGATAAACGCGACCACGAAAGTCCATATTATGTGGCAGCCAAAAGACCTTGTCGCGGTACTGCAAAAAAAAAGACAATCAAAAACGTCGGATTATATTATCTAGATTTTATATATAAATGTGTCAATAATTAAATTAAATTAAACACTTACATGTTGTGCCAGCGACAGGCGATAGAGTGCATCGCACCACAAGCTGTACATTTCGGCCTGTTTGCGTCGATGGCCGAGCTTATCGCGGAACTGTTTAGCCCGTTCCGCCGGCGATACTGTTTCGCTGTCCTTATCGGACGATGGCAACGTGGGCAACGGTGGCAATGAGCTGGGCGGCTGGGGTACATCCAGTTTGGCATTGCCGCCATTCCGGAATACTTTAATAATGACGTCCAGCAGCTGGGTGTTGACACGCCACGGCACACTGGCCAGCTGATTGAGGGAATCAATGGCCGGATAGAGATGTTGAGGATTGGAGGAACGTATGCGCTCCCACTGCTGCACAGCCTGATGTGGTAATCGTATCAGCTCCGATTTGTTCAGCAAATAGCCACCGTTGTGTGGCGTGCTCCACGGCTGCGGTGGACACAGCATGGGCACCAGATTCGAATCAAATGTAAGAGTTTGTTGGCGCGAAGCGCGCAGCAATCGTGATAGCACCGGATGCGGTTTAACCTCCTCCTTCACCAATCTGCCCTGGTTGCGAAAGAGCGTATAGAATGCGGGCAGCAAATTATGTGACGCCATTGTTGCAGATGTTGTCTTCGCTTTGCTCTTCTGGCGCATAATATGCGCATCGATTTTAATGTCGCGCATAAGGATGTTATAGAGGAATCTGCCGACACCAGCGAGCACATTCGTTGGCCACGGCACCTCCGGCAGATCCATGGAGGGTCCACTGTGGCGCTCGTCGTGCACCAATCGCTGCCACATCTGGCGCGTATTGTCCGTGGTGCGTCCACTGTCCCAGAGCTCACAATATGCGCTGTATATGTCACCGATTTTCTCCAGAATACCATTATGTTTCTTTTGTTCGATTTGATAGCATTGCTGCACCTTCTGACCCAGTTCCTTGTACAGCTGACTCACCGTCGGACTGAATGTCTCTGAGCCTTCGGCCAGTTTGTACAGCTCCTTGATCAGTATGTCAGCAAACTGTGTCGTGTCGAGTACTTTCAAGTAGGTGTAGTAATTCATATAACCATGCGGCTTGAAACGCACCTGAGCACGCAATGTGTTCAGATCTCGCACAATCGCTGCCGAGATTTGCTTGCGCCAGCCTTGCTCCAGCTCCTTGAGCTTCGAGCGCTGCCAAGTAAAAAAAAGGGAACATGAGAATAACAAAATACACTATAGCATGCACAACTTACACAATATTCGGCATTGGCAAACTCTTTAGTCTTCTCAATGGACTTGATGGTAATGTAGCCATCCAGTTCCACCTGTAGCTGCTCGCGTGCCAGCTGTTCCAGCTGTGTTTTGCTATAACCGCGCTTAGGATTCATAATGACACAATCTTCGGCTGTGACATCAGCCTCCAGCGTTGCACCAACGGGCAAAGTCTGCGCATTGAGATCGTTGAGCAGCTCGTTGTCATAGCCCAACGGGGGAGGCACATAGACGGGCATAAATTCCGCACGCACGCGTCTTATAGCATCCAGAGCAATATCACGTTGATCCGATACAAATTTGGAGCGATCCATGATTTGATTTAGACTGTAGCCTTGTTGTTCCGCCTCTGCTATGTACTGTTCAATTAACTGTTGATTCTGTGCATTCGACTCAACGCGGCCCAAACACTCGAATGTGGCCGCATACGTTTGTTCGCTAAACTCCAAGCCATCCTCATGGATGAGCTTAAAGAGTTCCTGACAGCGGTCAAAAGAACCCTTGCCCGCATAACCATGCAACAGTATGTTGTAAAGATCGATGGTGATAAGGTTGCTGCTTAGTTTTGGATGCTGTACGCTGCTCTTCTTGGTGCGACTGCGATAGGCAAAGATGGTGGACAGAGCACGGTTCAGCATGTTGGCTGAGACGCAAACATTCAGATATGTGGTTAAATTTATGATCAATGCACGCTGTTTGGCCATACGCTCCTGCTCCTCATTGACGTGCACCTTTGACTTGAAACTATTCAGAAAAATTATGAGATATAAATATGCTTGGCCGGACTAGAAGTGGAATTGTATAACAAACCGTTTCTTGGACTTGGCTGTCACGGCATTAACATTGGGCACATTAACTGCTGGCACATCTGTTTTATGCGTTTCTTGGACTTCAATATAAGGCTCGATTGCTTCGAAGGGATCCAACAATTCCGTTTCCGGTATATGCTTGGGCGTAGTTAAACTGAAATTCAAATAAGTTTAAGGATTCATTAGAGCGACTGATATAAAATGTGGAGCTGGGTCACTCGTTATTACACAACTTGAATCTGTAGTAACCTACCCAAAACTGGTCAAATCCGCTTCAACATTATCCTGTTGCTCGTTCTCCATGCTCTCAATAATATTTCGATAATTGTGAAAGCTCTTCAGTATCTTATGCACCTCGTCGGGATTGGCAATAACCTGTTTGGTGTACATCTCCTTGCCAAAAAATATCAAAGGCTTGTCGTCGTACAAGCCCGCCTCCAGTATAGAGCTATCTAATGGATCTATATCGATTTTTTGATACTCTGCCGGCTGTCGCGGTGCGGCCTCCTCGGTGCCAGGTTTTCCTTTCTTCAGAACACGCCGCTCCTCTCGGGCACGCTTCTCTAAGATTTGCAATTGCGTTTTCTGTATGAATTCGGCCAATTTCTTGGATTTCAAACGTTTGACTCGCGATTTCCGTTCACTGGCAGTGAGTTCGGTGACTATTGAAAGATTGGGATACGATGTAACAATTGTTTATATTTGTTTAAAAGTCGTTCATACCCTCTAAGAGCTCCACGTATTTTGCGTATCGCGGTTTACGCAAACGTTTCTTTTTGGCCAGCGCATGGGCGTCTGTTTGTGTGGGCGTGGACGAGTGTGTGCGCAGTGCTGATATTGTTGTCGTTGCTGAATAAAAAGTACACAATTTTATAATGTACATAATTAGAAATTAATTTGATCTACTCACTTGCCGGTGCTTGTCGGTAAAGCATTTGATAATATTGCTGATATTGTGTAAAATTATGCGCAGTGCTGCCGACGCTGCTGCCACCGCCGCAGCTGCAGCAGCAGCCGTTTGTTGAGGCAGGCGTTGGCAGTCGCAGCGTACGTCGCACGGCTGTTGCGCGATTGGCGCTCAGCAAACGATACATATTATAGCTGCGGAATTGTAATGTCGTCGTACGAAATTTAATTAATGTTCACAGAATAATGTCCAATGCTTGCATAATATTTTGTTGTCCATTGCGCGTTTCACGTGTAGCAGTCGACAGGGCTGCATTAACAGCTGTTCAAGTAATAGTATCGATAGTTGCTATCGGGATGATAATGTTTGGGGCAGGGCTGCCAGCTTGCGCAATAACAATATTTAAAATTTGAATTTGCTAATCACAGATTTTAACGTTAGAAAAGTAGAAATATCCCAAAAATTATGCCGCCAAAGCACGCCAACCAAAAGGGCAAGCTGCAATCGAGCACAGAGGTTGCCTTCAGGCCACCGTCACCAAACGTATTTCTATATGTGCAGCTGGCTCATGTTGGTCAACTGCCAGACATTCAATATCCACTGGAAATGCATTTGGATCAAGGCGGAAGTCTAATTGTCAAGTGTGTGGAGAACTACAATACCGAGGGCATCATTGCCCAAGATGAGTTCACCACCAAGCCCACGTTTACATTGATATTTCAGCAGGATAACCTCGATCAAATCAATCAAGCTGCCGATAATCCACTGCTTATTAAATTATACATGTGCAAGATAGAAGAGGTCACTTATGAGGAAGAGGCTGATCTGGGATTGGAGAACGAAACGTCGGATTTATTAACGCTGCTGCTGGACAAAGTTGAGGAAACCCAAACGGATTACTATGAGCCAAGAGTTGAAATGGTTTTGCTATCCATGGGGTATTTGGATATTATCAAGTTATTCGGTCATCATCGCTGCATGATGCGTGAGGAACTCTTACTTTATCCAGTGCCCGAGTGCCCAATGGATCTGCGCTACACAATGCACACCGAGTGGCATCTCTATACGCTGGTGCCCATTGCCAAAGAGGTTACATTCACCAATATGGGTTTCATCACATTCGAGTCCATCTACAACCTGAAGGAAGAGTATACGCTCGATCTGCAAACCCTCAATGTTCAGTTGAGCTTTCGCTCAGTGTTGCCCGTAAATCGCCAGGAATACCATATGATACCGTGGTGCAGCTTCACGAAGTGCAATCAAGACTGCATTGCGACACAAGATAATCATCATGTATTTGAATTCTTTCGGAATAGTATGTCTCATAATTCCTGCCCGGGACTCCGATCCCCAATGTCGGTGCAAATGCATCAGCTTTTCTCTCGGCTAATGCGCTCGGAGAATATGAACGTGGATTTTGACTTGATCAAACCGAATGAGGATTTTGCCCTTGTTTTTAACTCATTTCATCGCTTTATTTTGACTGAAAAGCTTTCCTATATACTGTTCACTGCCATCGCTCGAAAGCGTTACGTGATTGCAGTTGATGTTTGGAATATGGCCGAAATTGAGAAAAAAGTTGGGAAGAAGATCGTAAAGAAAATTGGCAATCAGAAAATATTCTCGGGCGTTTTAGATCCAGCTGTTCTACTCTTCCCGGGCGGTAAGTGGCTCTTGCATATCTATCCGACCACGGGATATCTGTGAGCTATTTTATAACTATCGGTCGAATGAAAATATTTTGTCACAGCTTAACCGATAAATTATTTTATTTTATTATAAATTAAAAGTATTCTAAAAGAAATTTCATATCATCTCCTTTCAGTGCAAAAGCTTCGTTTTGCCGTGGAGCTAAAGTATCTGGGCACAAGGAAGAAGTTACCCAAGATAAAAGCACTAGATGGAAGCGTGTCTTCGAACGGCCATAAAACCGATACTCGATATTCGGCATATTCGGATCCGGCATTGAGCACATTTGCGATTATTCAAATTTGTTTGCTGGCACCGCTGGGCGAGTTCTTCCCGGAGCTGAAGATCTTCCGCGAAAGTTTCATTAGCCAAAATCGTTTGCTCTTTTGTCACGGTCATTTGATGGACCCAAAGCCCGTGCAGCTAAGGGATATCCAGCACAATGCCTATTCACGATTTGATCAATATATGCGGAATATGATACATTTTATTGTCGAGAAAAAAGTGCATTCTGTGGAGGAAAAGCGCGGCTATTTCTGTTGTGCTCTCCAAAATCTGATCAACATACTGCTCAAAGTGGTGGGCTGTGATTTTAATCAGCGCGAAAAAACCACCAACAATGTGGAGTTTTCAGTCAGTCACTTTTAATTAACAATTTATACAGAACCCAATAATTTATTGTTGATATTTCCTCATAGAATTTGTGCGCCATTGCCTACAATGAGCTGGAGTTGCGTGTTCACAGTCTGCTGGAAAAGATCGAAGATGATGGTTTGGATGACCTAATCGCGGATAGTGAGGAAAAGATTGAATCTCTAATCGATCATATGAATTCAATTAAACTCTTGAACGCTGTTGGGGATAAACATTTGGCAGATTATTTTTATGAAGAGGTGATTGAATGAATATAATTTATTTTTATTTAAAAATGGGTGTTGCCTCAGAACCCCTAACTAACTACATATGTATATATGTTTCTATATAACAAACATTTTTGATTATTTAACACCATCGATTTGAGTCAAAAGACACACGGTCATCTACTTAAAATCTGAATTTTTATAGGTATTTTACTTTAACCGGGCAAAGAATACCACTGGCAATCTCTTTGAATTCTTTGACTTAATCGCCAAGATGGAGCGAGGCGAATACGCATCGGCCAAAACCTACTTTGAATCGAAAAAATTGCTATCTGAAGCTCATCAGTACTTTACGTTAGTAATTTAAATGCATTATTGCATTACAACTAATCGCATAATTTCCCCAGCGGTTGGATACGCGTTTATCTTGACTATCTAGCCACACGCGATGATCCTAATCCGGAGACAACGGCCAAAGCCACAGAGTGTCTGTTGAATAGCATTACTAAATGTGCGGAGCGTTATAAAAAGGAATTGGATGGTTGGATACTGCTCTATTGTTACTACAAGCATTTCAATTATCCTCCTGGATATTCGTTTGCACGCTGGCATTTGGAAGATAAATTAAAACATCAGAGGAGTATCACCGCCTCGGCGCCATTAAGTTTGTTTGGCATTTCTATGCGTCTACGTCCAAAATTTGAGCATCAGCGCAGTCGCACTTTGTTCGAGTCCTTTAGGATGTTTGTGCGCTTGGGTCTATATGAGTTCGCTCAGGTGATATTTCAGGAGATGCAGCAGGACTGGAGCAAGCCGGAAATCTATATGATTGGCACCCAGCTGAAAATACTGCTTAATCAGTTGGATGAAGACTTTGAGGTCACGACATTTAGCTTTGAGGATAACAGTGAGAGGAACCTGTTGGTGGGTTGTTTCTTTTCTCCAAATATCGTACATTTTTACAGATTTTCTGTCTCTAGGTTAGCTTTAATGCTCAAATAAATGGCAATGTGGAATATCATCGCGGTAATTTTGAAATGGCAGCCGAATACTATGCAGTCAATATCGATCATTCAGAATCTTCTGCAACCAATCCTGATCACTTTATGCTGAGCAAAATGCGACATGCATATTTGACTTTTGATGCTGGCAACTATCAGCAAACCATCGATGCACTGCGCCATTTTAACGCGGGTAAACTACTTTCACTGGTCAAGAGTTATTTGATGGGCAAGGCATACTACAAACTGAAGGATCTTAATAAGGCCACGGAGTGTTTTGTTAACTGCACTACATTCGGTGCACATGTGCCCAATGTTTGGGGTTTTCTTGCACTAATCAATCTACAAATGGGCAACAATTTAAATGCGCTCTCATGCTGGAAACATGCCAGAATCGTGAGTAATATTTTAACCAACTGGATCATTGATTGACATAACCTTGAACTCTCTACTTCCTGTAGGATCCAACGAAATGTATTACAGACGAGATTATCTTTGCTGAACTTGACATGATTGACGTTGACATCGTGGATCTATATATAGATGGACCTAGTCTCGACAATAGTGCATCGTCACTTTTGGAAGACAGTGATACTTAAAGTACATCATATATTATGTGTATAATTTTGTAAATGGCTTCGAAAACAATATGTGTTAGAAATTAAACCAAGTTTTTTCATTGTATAATTAAGATCTATTATAATTAAATAATAATATTTCGATTTCAATGAATCTCCCACTCTCTGTAACGCAGCAACAGAGTTTTGAGGCCATATGTTTCTGGGCTTATTTGGCAATTTACACAGGTATGCCATGGGTTTTTAATTCCAAAGGAGCTTCAGATTATTTAATCACTTCAAACACTACATTTTATTACGCTTGGATACAATACAATTTTACACACAGTAAATAACCAAAATATAAATTATTTTATTTACTTATAAGCTGCACACCACAAGATCATCGCCGAGCAATGCATTCTAGAAAAGCGAGAAACCGGAGTGAACCGAAGAAGGACATTCCTTTCCAGTCAATGCCAAATCTTTCGTTAGAGCCGTATTGCGAGAGCGAGTCATCCTTAAATCCGTATGCCTTGGAATTTGTGCCATCATTTATGAAGAGCGGTGAAATCAGTTCGAAAAAGAAGCAGTCGTTCGCTCAGAAAATGAAAACGGCGACAACCTCAACGACAACATTAACGCAGCGTAAGTTGCCTTGCGGAGATGCATCCTATTTGCAGGCCCAGCGGCAGCTCTTTGAGCTGATGCATCAGCTGGGCGAGAAGCTTATGCCGTTGAAGGCGATAAAGGTGAGTCTGGCGCCAGACGGCCAGGGTATCAATGTTCAGTTTAAGGCTGAGCACGGATCAACCGGCAAGCATATGCTGGACGAGAGCCTTTGCCAAGATGCGGCCCTTCATTTGGAGCTGAGCAATCGCTGCTCCATATCCCGAAGGCTGCCCAATGTGTTGGCCGCCAATTTCATGGCCCGTATGGGGGAAGTCCTCAAAGATAAAATGGAGTGGAATGAAGACAGCCAAAAGACAACCGCACACAAATTGCAGGAGACTAAACGCAAGATTCACACCACTTCCGTTAGCAAGGACACTCATCATTCACATCAAATAGATTTAAGCACTACCACAGCACTAGTCAGTGATAAGTTCACCACGAATCAATTGACGCAGGAGCCATTCGATCGCAATGGGGTCGTGACCAGCTTCTCAAGACTGTGCAATGCCACCACCCCTCAGCAAAACATCTATTCGAATAATTTGATGCCAGGAACTTCAAGTACTGAAGAGGAGCCAAAATTCGAGTAAGCCTGGTTACAATCAGAGTATCTTAGCGAGACTTTATTTTTAGGCTTTAGGTACTATTTTATTACCCATTTGCTTAGTACTTACTCAAAATAAAGTCCCTTCATTTCTTAAATTAAATTTAATTGTTGCTTTCAGAAAAAATTTAATTGGCGAAATCCTCACGCCCCGAAAAGGATTGGGTCATGTAGCAAAGAAATGCCTAACTGGCTCTCAGAAACGTGTTCCACGTAGCACTTTTACCTCTCAAATGCGCCAATTGCAGATACAAAAGGTAAACCGATGTATTAAACAGTTGAAGGGTCATAATCAATGTTTGCATTTACAGCGCTTGACTATGCAGAAGCCATTTAATAATAATTAAGTACTCGGTGAATAAATTGATCTGCGAATTCATTTTACTTACAAGGTAGGTCAATTAAATATTCCTCCGTGACAATTAACTATCATTGATATTTACAGATCTTTCTTCTGACGAAAGCACTTTATTAAATTCAATATATATATATTTATATGCACATAAATATATATATGAGAAACGTCGGGAATCAAGAGACCAATCATTCAATTTCTTCTGACTTTCTGAATTGTCCTATGTAAAGAGAGGAATAAATTTTAATTTGCCCAGTTCGGATATAAGAAAAATATTACAATATCATTTTGATTAACAAATATTTTATTTAGTACATTATTCGATTTCACTAGAAAATGCATGTAAATATATATTCATGTATATGTATCATAGTTGATTGAATACTTTGGTAAGTTCTGTTGCGTGTGGAACTTATGTCTAAGCATATCATAGGATTACAAATAATTGCTTTACGTATAAGGGGTGCAAAACTATCGCTGGTACTATCGTGAATGTGATATAAGTTTATTAACTGATCGAAAACAGGAGCAAATCTGCATTTTTCTGATTTCAAAGTAACTTGTTTCACACGCACAATAGTGCTATAGATAGTATTGCAGGTTTATTGGGTATGTGTAAATAATTTCATAATTAAACTCTTTAGTTTTAGACATTTAAGTTAAAGAAGACACAACGTTAGCAGATTTGATCTAATAAGGGAGCTCATTGAGATTTTTAAACAGCAGGCTAATATAAATATTTAAATATATAAAATGTATATCAGTTTTTTTAGGTATGCTTCACACTGGAAATATCATTATAGTCCAACTAATAAATAATATATTAATAAAAATCAATAAAATAAATGTACAATCATTATGAAGCTCTTATATGTATATACAATTAAGCATTTACTTAGAATTGAACAACAATAAATGTATTTGATAAGCGCTAAACGGATTTATAAATTAACAAGTTTTTTCGTGTGTACTGGAACTTGGTTCAGCTAGTTGAAACATTAGTTACTTCTATTTATTTTATCGTGTATGGATGTGTTCGCGTATTTATATGGTATATGTAGTTCAATATATGCTGTATGATTTGTGTAGGGTATATGGTATTTGCTGGTTTGCATGGACTTTAATAAACGGCATAACCAAAACCTAAAATGGAAAGTAAAATTGAATTAATTACATGAATTTGCTAGCTATTTTGTGGTAGGGTTTAAGCAATTAGTATATTTGTTGATTTTTCTTTTTTGTTAATTAATTGTTTAGTATAGTAATTGCTTACGGTTAGTTTGCTTTAGTAATTACCAAATACCTGGGAATTAGTCACATGGATGGCGTTTGTTTAACATTTGGATGAGACACAAACCAAGGGACGGGGCGAAATTCTCAGTTTACCTGCCACAATAACAACGACAACATCAAACATCAAAAGTCAAAGATCAAACATCCATTACAAAAGGAACACCGAACAACAATTTTAATGCTACGAATTACGCTTCTACATTGCTTTTGTTATGCGAATATTGTAAAAAATAACCATTTTTAGTAGCTGTGCGTATGTGTGTATTGGTATATGCTTTTCTTTCTATTAATTTTTTTTTTTGGTTTTGGCTTGAACTTAAGCAGTACTTGAGTTATGTGAGGCGCCACTGATCGCATTGAATAAAGCCATGCTATTGCGCTGGGCAGCTGTGTCGGCATCGTCGCTAAGCGGCTGGAATGACTCGTCTTGGAGTAACTCACTGAGCGCTTGACACAGCTTCTCATAGTTCTCCTTGAGCACATGATGATACTCTTTCTGATCGGCACTGATCATGCGCTCGTTCACACGCAACGCCTTATGACAGACGCCAATGAAGTCACTAGTTAAAGCAAGTGTAAAGTGTGAATTACTCATCTAAATGGAATCATTTAATCGCATTCAAACTGCTACATACCGAAATACATCCTTTAAATCCTCGACCCGATCCAGCGAAAAGTTATTGATCACCTTGGCGTCCAGGAAGGCATGCGCATATGCCAATGGTCCCGCATTCACCGTGACTGCTACGCTGCCCTGAAGACGCAGCTGCAGCTTCTTAACATCCGCAGGTGGCAGAATGATCTCCTCCAGCTCTGAAACCTTTGATTGCATCTCATCGATGGCCACCTCAATGGGACTCAGCTCGATGATTTCGCGCGATTTGACTGGTATGCGTTTGAGGACATATGGAAATGAATATGTGGCTGCAAAGTGATTAGAATATTAGTTCATCTCCAATTATTTTAAATCGAGCAACTCCTTGACTCACTCTTAATGACCGTTTTACGTTTCCATTGCTCCTCAACGTTGCCGCGTGCGGCACCAGACTTGGTGAATGGTGTCTCATACATGAATGTGTCCACATCATGATTCTGTTCGAACTCATTGAGACGTTGATCGAGCTCATCTTTGGTGAAGAAGGGTATCACATGGGTGACCTGTATGTAGGCAAGTTTGGCATCCAGTTCCTCAACTTTGACCTGTAAGCGAAAAACATAGCAGACCAGTAATTAAATCTCTCAACGAATCAACAAGCTAATCAAAAGTGTTTCAACTATATATTCATTAATATCAAAGCTGCTTAGAAAATTGAGATATTGGAATATTCTACCAAATCAGAGTAATATTTGTGTTTCGGCTAACTTCATCGTTCCAATGAATACTCCAATAACTAAATAGCACCGTACAAATAGTAAATTGTTTGTATGCTAAGAGAGTGCATTGTGACCAAATTAAGTTTAGAGTTATCATTTTAGTAAGTTGGACAAGCGACGAGCTTCCTAGCATGGACTTTGCCAATGAGATGCACGATCACTACCTGAAGGATTTTATTCATTCACTGCAGTTAGGCAGCGAGGATAGCAGCGACCATATGCACAGCCAAAACCGGAGCCAGAGTGAGTCCTCACTAAATCCCAATGCAGCCGAATTCGTGCCCTCCTTCATGAAAATTAGCGATGGCGCTTATGAGGTTAATGTTAATGATGATGATGACAATCAATTGATCAGCTCGACAACGACGCTGGTGAACAAAGTGATTAACGGTGATGGTCTTCACGTCAACAGAGATGATTCACAGAGCCGCATTCAGCGCCAACTCTTCTATTTGATGAAACAATTGGGCACATCAAATTTGCCGCTCTCTGATATTCAATTGAGCCTAACACCCAACGGCCAGGGCATCAATGTGCAGTTCATGCCCAAAGAGTATGGCCAACGAAATCCTTTGGACGAACAACTTTGCATGGCAGCTGGCTTTCGGCTGGAAATTGGGGATTCTGTATTGCAATCCAAGCGGCCCTGCAAAGCTGTAGCCGCACAATTTCTGAGTCGCATGAGTGAACTGCTGGAGGAGAAGAGTGAAGAGCAGACTCTCTGTCCACAGTGTACGGGAATGCCGAAAAAGTGTATCTACACCGAACTGGAGATTGAGCGACAGATCGAGGACATCAAGGGATTTGAGAAGCTGATCACAGAGGATGCGGGTACACGCTATCAGGAGGCATTCAAAGAGCTCTGCCAAAAACTAGGACTTACCACCAGTGGAGAACAATCGATGGAATCAACTGCTGCACCTGCTGCCCGGCAAAACGACGAACTAAATGCCGTTGAGGAGCCCTACGAATGGGATTCGTTTACAGCTAATTATGATTCAACGTACAACTGTGCGGCACCCAGTGGCTTCAAATTGCCCGTGAATAAGCTGTTGGATGTGCAGCAGCAGCAACGGAAACAGGACCAAAAAAAGCAATCCAGCTCAAAACTGAATGTGCCGACAAAAATACAAACTAATATGTCCTCCTCCTCGTCCACTTACCCCAAACTGTACAAGATAAATCAGGGAAAATGGACGGGTTCGCAAGGAACACGCGTAGCCAAAGCAAGCAAAGAGAGCAAAATCCAACGATCCCGCTTCAGCTCACTTGGCTTTATGGCAGCAGCAGCATCAGCGGCAGCAGGCACAGCAACTGGAACTGGCATAGCAACTGGCACAATTGGTTCGTCCAAGAAGCTACCAGAGCGACCGCAGCATGTTAAGGAAGATGGGTCGATTCGCTCGTATCAGCGTGAATCGCCTCAGAAATCGGGTATTGTTAGCAATATACTTGATATGCGGGCCACACAAATTGGGAAGCCAACACGCATCTGCAAAATGGAGCCACCGCGCTCACAGCAACAGTTAGACCGAGCCCAAGTGTAAGTAAATGACAACAAATATTTACGTGTCCTGTTAAAATTCACCTTTGTTAAAAAAAATTCAAACATATGGAACAAATTGCCCTGAATATTAGAGTGTTTTCTGGTTTTTAGAAATAATTTCTAAATATAAGAACAAAAAATTTCTTAAAATTAGAAAGGCAATCACAAAAATATGTTTTCTATTTTAGAAATATTATTAATCGAATTTCTATTATTAATAAGTGCATTTCTAAAAGGTAGAAATCCAAAAATTCACTTTAAAAATATCAGAAACAAGTAATGAGATTTACTGGATTGGCTTCTCTATAATTTAGCTGTTTAAAAATGTTTGTATTACAAACTAATGTTTAATATAAGTTACCAAAAGGAAAATGTAGAGGTATTTTTTGTATGAAAGAAGACTCTTAAAAATGCGATTTTTTTTTTTTAAATTGTAATAAAAGTTACACTGTAATTAAGAAGAAAAACCCTGGTTTTTTTAGAAATCTTATTTCTGAATAATAAAGTGAGTTACCCTTGGCGACAAAAGTAAGGGTATTTTCTAAAATTCAAGGCGATTTTTTGCGAGCTTTTCCTAAGCGTAATTCAAATTCATTTTGTATGCTAAAGTGGCCAACTGCATGGCATTTATAATCATTTCCTCAAATTCCAGCCAGAATGTAAAAACAGCACCAACCACAAGCCGTGCCAGCACCATGGCTCAAGGGCAGAGCACCAAGATTAGTTCAGCGGGAGCTCAACGAGTGCTTGCACCACGTAGCACGCATGCATCCCAGATGCGTCAGTCGGAGGTGAAGCGTGTAAGTCTCAAATTGCACACAACGAATATTTGAATACTCTCTAATTTTTGCACATATTCCCCACGCAGCGCCTCAACTTAATGCGAGGTGACAACGAAACTGATGTTCAATTTAATGAGTATCTATTCAAATGATACAGTTCGAAAATACTTTTTCAATTTATTTAGTTGGTTTTCAAAACAGCATCGATCGGTTGCCGCTATCTCAAAGTGGAGCTTAATTGTTATCAACAGAAGAGTTTGTTAGACGAGTTTTTAGTCAGGCAATAATTGCTTTGCTGAGGATTGTTCAGAATTTAGCAGGCAATGGATTGTGTGATTATAGTGTATACAAATTAATAAATCGTTTCGTGTTATTTCTATTGAGCATCTCATAAAACATACAGTTTCCTTTTTCACTTTGCATTTGATGCATAATTATTCAAATTGAAGTCAAGTCAAAAAGGTAAACTCAAAACTTATTTTCAACTTTTTTTTTTTAATGTAAATAGACTTGGAATACAGCTACATACCGGCGATGAATCCATAATAAGTTTGACGACATCGGCACCAAACTTTTCCTTATACTGTTTGTTCAAACGATCCGAAATCTCGCTTAGCGATGTCAGCTTTGGCTCCTTGTACACAAACTCAACGGCATGATCCTCCTCAAAGTACATCTAAAAAGCAGTCATATATGTGAATATATATAGCTTGAGACAGGCTCTGTTTGAGTTAGAGGTACTCACCATGCCGTAGAAGACGACGCGATAGAATCGACCCAACATACGCCTCCCAGACCGATTAACCTCGACAATTTTATTGTATGCCTGGGTGAGATGCTCATAACTTTGGGCCAGTTCGATGAAGTTGCGCGCCCGCTCATAGATGGGCAGGATGAGCTTGTAGAGTTCGCCGAGGCACTCGAAACGCTCTGCACGATCGAGAAAATCGGCGCATTGCTTGAGCTGCTCGAGCAGCATTTGCTCCGTATACTGCGAGTCCTGGGCACCGGCATCCAGCTTGAGGCCCTGCTCATCGCGCGGAATATTGCGCGATATCCGTCCAAAAGCCGTCGAGGACCAGCTGAGCGTGCAGCCGCCACGTAATCGCAGATATTCGCACATGAGCGCCGCAATGTGCAGATGACAGCAGGCGGCCTCCGACAGGTTGCCATTCTGTTCGTGATTACGTGCCATGGTTACTAGCCAGGTGTGACGCAGCTCCGGCGTAGAGGCATACGAATTGGCCAGCGAATATTGCAGTTCCAGCAGTCGTTCCGGGTCCATGTGATGCGCCTGCATCTGGGCCGTGGCCATCAGCACAGTGCGCACCCGTCTCGTCAAATCCTTGACCTCGAGTGGAAAGCCGGTGCCCTTCATGGCCTTGTCACTGTTGGCATAGCTGTTGATGATCGACAGGCTCTCTTGGAAACGCGCATTATTCAGCCCGATCACATTGCCAATCATTTGCGACACGGAGATGATGACCTGCAGATGGACACGGGTCAGTGCCTTGCGGCCACTAAACTCAAAATTACTGCGCATCAACAAGTAGAGCACTGCGCAGGACTCGTGACGTATTTCCACCAGGCGGCTATCGCAGGCCTTCAACAGCTCATAGACCATCTGGCCGCAGAGCATGGCATTGCCCTTGAACAGAGCCATGGCATAGTTGTTTATGAAAGCGCGCAGGGCGGCAAAGACGTGCTTGGAGAGACGCTCCGACTGGCCCAGTTGCAGGAAACGCAAATAGACGCGCGCCAGCTTGGGCAGCACCAGACTGTCGGCGAGTAGTTGACGGAACTGCAGAAGATACAGGCCCAGGCAGTCCAGTATGATCATGCCCACTTCTGTGGCCAGATTCGATTCATACAGCGCCTGCTGTGTTCGGGCCGAGAGATCCATATCCTCCAGCAGATGTTCCCGCGTCTGGGTGAGTGTGCCAGTGCCGTTGCTTTGCGGCTCCTGATTGCCATTCTCCAGCACAGGCGGCGTACTTCTGGCAGGCAGCGTATGGGCCTTAGTTGGTCGCTGCACACGCGCCTCAGTCGCCAGCACCACATGCTTTTTGCCCACGTAGCGGAACTGCAGGAGGCACAGGTCTAATATTGATAGGAACTGCAGGGTCTCTGTCTCGTTGCAGTTCTGCCACCAGGCGACTATTTGATCCTGCGACAGATGCTTCACAATAAACAGGAAGCCAAGCAGCAGATCCTTGCTCTCGGCAGCACTAAACTTATCGCAGCGCGACAGAATCTGTGCATGGGTCACACTCACGGATCGATTGTGGCCATTGCGCAGCGGCACATCCGTTTCCCCATTTGTGTAGGCTCCAATTGTGGTCGTGTCCTGTGAGTGCTACAAAAGCAGAATATTTTTTGTGGGAGTGTTAAGATTGATACATGAATGTGATCAGAAATTGGAGTTTGGAGTTACACTGGATCTGCAGATCTTTCTTAGCTAATATCTTGTAAGGATATGCGCATTTAATAGGTGTCTCTCATAAATAAATCGAAATTATGTTGAAAAGATTTAACAATTTATTGGGCTACTTACGCCTGAATCGGAGTTGGAGTTAAGCGACAGATTGGAGACGCCATTGCCAATGGCTGTGCCAGCGATGGCGGCCAGATAATTGTGATCCTTGATGTGCATCGAGGTGCGACAGGGACTCGCCTGATCGGTATGCACTGTGAGGCGATTCTTCGAGCGCGGTGTGGAGGTCAGCGAGCCAAACGTTGAGGAGTCCTTGCTAAACACATAGCTGCTGGAGCAGCTAAGACGCTTTGTATAGGATGCGGAGTCGGCATAGACGTGTCCGTTGGGCGTACAAGGGCTCGCATCGGACAGATCATCGATGCGATGCAGGTTATCCATGACAATGCCCAGCCAGGGCACATACAGCAGGGCGATGCGGCATAGCTGACCACGTTGCTGATAGCGTGCGTCCAGTTCGTGCTTGGCCAGCAAATCCTTGAAGATGGATAGGGCATGGCGACGCACGTGCCCGACCTCGTTGAGGCTGCTCTTTAGCTCCTGCAGCAGAAGGCCGGAGAGGAAGTGCTGGCGACAAAACTGCTCGGAGAGTGTGAGATGCTGCAACAATTCGGGCGGTCGATTCTTGGGATTGAGTACAAACGGCAGATTGAGTGGCACATAATGCTCGTGCTGGCAAATCTCCTGCAGAAAGTTGAACTTATACTCGTGCAGCACACGTGGATTGCCAGGCGCAAACTGTTCCATATAGAAACGGATTAGCTTGAACACAAATCCACGATCCATGTAGCTGAGACACTGACGCACAAAACGCGCCAGGGAACGATTCAGTTGCTGTGTCTCCTCGCCGAGATCATCGTAGCGGGTTGTTATGTACGTGACGAGCATCTTGATTAGCTGCTCCACACGATCCGCATACTCCTTGGGGAAACGCTCGTTGCGCAACATGCGAATGCGACCCGTGGCCAACAGATGCTGTGCCATGCTCTTCACAATCAGATCAAAGAAGATCGACGAGTAACGCATGATTTTGTTCACGATGAGAAAGTCCGGATTGTTGGGACTGAGCAGGTGGGGCAAATGACGACACAGCTCACCATGAACCGTGCGTAATCGTGCCGTCTTTTGGCTGTAGTATGGCGCATTGAACACATACTTGACGTACGCAGCCAGCAGCTCGGTGCGCTTGGCATCATCGCTGATCAGATGGATGATGTTCGTCAGCACACGAATCACATTCTGGCCAATCTCCTCGGACTGTGTGTGCACCAGCAGCGTGAACAGTTCGTTGAGCAGCGTGGGCAGAAAATTGATAAGTGAACGCATATCGATGGCATGTGCCGCCTTCAGGATCTTGCACGTCTCCGTTTCGGCGGGCAGGGCTCCAGTCTTTCCGCCTTCCAGCAGCCGCTCGCAGTGGGCAAAAAAGTTATGCAGATGCTGATCGGCCGTCAGCACCGTGGAGTCCAAGCGGAGACCAACGTTGTAAAGCGGTCGCTGATTGTCGATCCATTGAATGTCCGGACCGCAGTTCTGCTGAGAAATTGGAAAGGGTTTGTAGGCAGCCAAAGGGGGAATTCGAATGCGGATGCGGTGCATGGAGTATGAGTAAGAAAGAGAAAACACAGAGCGGATGGTTGTTTTTGGTTAGGCAAGCAAGGAATGGATGTGAAAAAAAAATACAAAACGATGCATGAGTCGATGATCGGCAACAAGCAGCGACAGCAACAACAACAATAACAACAACAACAGCAACTCACCCCCTTGCCCCAGCCCAGCGGCTGTATGGATAAATAACCAACGGGGAGCGTGGCAGCAACGGGCAACAGTTGCTCCTCCAGGCAGATGCGATTCTTCTGCAGCAGCGGCAGCCAGGCATAGCCAATGGGCGTCTCGAAAGCGGCGTGTGCGTCGCGTTTCTTGCTCAGATTGCAGGACACGTGATAGAAGGAGAAGAGCAAGTGATGCTCCGCAAACAGACCCAGTGGCAGACGCAATTTAATCTCCTCATACCAAGTGGGCGTCACATTGTGATGCAGCACCGGACTCGCAATCTGTGAGACCAACAAATCCTGACCGGGTCGGCCATAGATGCACTATAAACGAGCAAAAATATACCAGTTAGTTAAGATTATGAAAGGGATACAAGTTGAATACGAATCTCGATGATTTGTACCTTTAGGGGTTTACTGTACTCGCCATCGCCATCGCGCAGCTCGACAACAACTGTAATGTTGCGAGCGCGTGAGAATAATTTTTGGCTATCGAATTGCAGACTCAGTGGATACACATAGAGATGATTGCAGAAATTGGTGTAGGGATACGCATCGCGCTCGGCTTGGCTCTGAAACTCGGAGAGTTCCAGTGTGAGTTGCTGCTTGGTCGAGGCACTGAACGTGGACAAGGGCGCCAGAGATTTGCTGAGCCCGCACGGCGTCGTCTGATCCAGCAGCTGCAGCTGCAGCCGCATAAAACCTGGTATAATCGTCAATTTGCTCAGCTTCTCCGGCTTGCGATAGTCGACAAGCAGTTTGAGTAGCTCGTCATCGCGCAGCTTGGGCAATTCCTGGCGATAGATGGTATTGAACTCGAACAAACACTGCGACTCCACATCCAGTTCGTGGCTGTAGGCCTTGAACAGAGGCTTGGCCGCCCAGGCGAATGGCTGGCGATAGTGTCCGATGTGCTGGGCACAGTTCTTGGCCGCCTTGTACACCTTCTGGCCCAGTTTGGCATCGCGTGCCGCTTTCAGATACGGCTCGGCCGCCTGAGCGATGCTGCACTGCAGCACCTTCTCGATGCGCAACACCAAATAGATGTCTGCATGTGGAGCACTTACTGACAACAGGCACTGTCGCAGCTGCTGGAACTGCTGGCGCGGACACCGCAACAATTCCGATGAGACGCCGTCGAATAACGAATGTGGCGCCTGGGCGGCACTGCGCTCATCGCTCTCCGCACGCCGCGGCATGCCACAACCGGCCACCGAGGCAGGCACTGGGGTATTGGGCAGAAGTTGAGCCGCTGCCGACTCATTGATGTTGAAGTAGAAGCTCTCGCTGAGCTTGCGACCCGCCTTGGCATCGTAGAGTGCAACACTGGTAATGTACGGCTCCACCTGGCAGAGTTGGTCGCCCGCCGTGCCGCCATCTGTCAAATCCGCAGGCTGGCATTGCAAACGGAAGCGCAGGCACTGACAGCTGAGTAGGATGCGTGTGCCAAAGTGTTCGCGATACTGTTCGACATTGTCGACATTGGACAGAGCCTTGCTGGCACTCTGATAGCAGGCAAAAAGATGACGACGTTGCTCCCGACGCGCCAGCGCTATGGAGTGATCCGTCTCGCGTCCATATTTCATCAGCTGTGGATGCAGCGACTGATCCAAGCCCTTGAGCGTGCCAAACGTTTGCGGCTCCATTGCCGGTGGCTGCAGTTGTGGTGTAGGTGTCGCATTGGCAGCCGGATGCCGTTCGAGAGATGCGTTGCGCTTCTCCTCCTGTGCCTTGTTTTGTGCCAGCACCGAGGATAGTTTGGTTAGCCAATCTTTAAAGTCCTGCTCGTTTTCGGCGGCCAAGGTGAAGGATTTGTGGCCAGCTGTCATGCGCAGCTCAAAACAGAAACGACCACGTTTGGGATTCTGTAAGGGAAAACAAAGAACAGTGATTAGTTCAGAGAATTGCAGCTGAGATTTAAGACTCACCTGCACCACTTCCGTGCAAAAGTCCATGACAATAGTAGCCTTGGCATCGCCCTGCTTTTCATCCTTGTGCAATTCGAGCATGTAGGTGCCATCGATCTCTTGGCGCAGATAGCAATAGCGACGCTTGAAGGACTTGTTGCCAATATTGGCAAACATTCGATCCGATGCCGAATCGGGTCCTTTCAACAGATAACCCTGCTTGGTTATTGTGTCCGCTTGGGAGCGCGTCATTTCCTCATCGATACGATCCTGATCGGCATCGATTTCGTACAGCTCCTCCAACAACTCCTCTGCGGGCGTAGTGCTATGCAGCAATCAGAATGTCAGCATGGAGATCAATGGAGTATCAATTGTGTCAAATGCTCACCTGGGCAGATCGTGGCAGTTGCCACCATATGCATTGTACTTGTAGTGGATGAGATGATTTTTGGCACGATACGTGTAGAGAGCTTGCCGTGTGAAGCGCGTGCACTCGGCACGGCTTCCCAGAGCAACTGCATCTTGGCCAGCTGTTGGCTCCTCATCCGCATACTCGTCCACCTCCTCGGGCTGTGCCAGATTCGAACGGAGTGTTGTGGACGACAGCGCCGACTCATACGATGACTCGTGCGACAACTTACGACTCCCAGAGCCATTGGAGCACTGTGAACTCTTCCGGGACAATTGCCCGTTGCCATTGGACAGGCTGGTGTTACTGCTGTGTCCATTCTGCAGGCTGCCATTCGATTGCAGGCTGCTCTGTCGGCTCACCTGACTGTGTCCATTGCTGCCCAGCACGACAGAGCCATGCAGTGGACAAACAATGGCCTCATTGGGTGGCTCAAACCGATCTGCAACAGATTTGGCATTGGTTCGCTGCTTACGCGGCATGACAATCTCCTGCAATACATTTTAAATTATGAATTGCATGTCTAGATTATATTTTTGTAGCATTTTTAATCTATTGTCTAATTGAAGACATTATTGTGTGGAAAATTGTAATAGGCTAATTATCCACATCTAATTGTATTCAAAGTTAGACCATTAGAGATAAGAGTATACATATAAATAACTTTACAGTGACAACATTTTATCATTAATTTAGAATATCTTATATATAATAGACCTACCATTAAGCATTTAACACGACTAGTCTTACAAATAGAAATGCTTCGAGGCATTTGCCCATGATTTATAATATGGCATACATTTTTTTCGACTCGATCAAAAGTAAAAGTTTGTTGAATACTAAATTCAAATGAATAAATTATTCGTTCTGGCTTGTAGGCTAATTCCAAAAAAAATAAAATAAAAACAACAACTTACCGAAACGTCGTCTGCTGGATAGATGAGCAACTCCCGCTGCGGATCATTTTGTATGAGTGTTTTATTTTTGGCTATAAAGGCTTCAAAGTCGATCGGTTCTACGACGAGTGGTTTGCTCTGCAAGTAGAGAGAGGGTGCGATGATATTTTGGTTAGAATTTGTTTGCTAATTTATGTGTGCCACTTGTAAAAGCAAAACGCATCTATTAATAGTTCTCCTCCCCTCAAATAATCAAATCTCCATGTTCATGCAGCGCCCGAGGAATTTATTGAATCGAGGCACGCAATAAATTTATGGTTACTTTTCCATAGCCTCCCCCCAAAAATGCTCAGACCTTGACCGCATTATACGGCGGATGTTGACGTCGCCGTTTCGGTTTTGTTGTGTCTGGCTGCGGGTGTAACTTCTAATGATGTGTTCCATGCGATCGAAATCGACGTGGGCAGCGCTATTGGCATAACCAAGTCGATTTTATTTAAACATTTGGCATTTTGCAATGGTCCGCAGCCAAGCGCATGAGTTTCTTCTTTTTTTTTTAATTTGATTTTAGTCACGATGACAACATGAGGGTGGTGGCACGGAGTGTGCGACGGGCTGCTTTAAATAGTGGGCAGCAGGTGATATTAAGTTGCCCAACCCTTTATGAAATGGCGCCAGCCCGAAAGGTTAAAGTGTCATTTCCGGTGTCAAGTCTTGTCATTTGAGGCGAAACCTGAGCCTGGGCTTGGTTCTGCTTTCCAGTTAATGAGGCAATGAGAGCATCGTGCGACTACTGCGTAGTTGTGCAGCAATAATGAATGGTTTGTCAAAGGATGGCTGCCCTATAAAATCGATTGTCTTAGGTCAAAAGTTAGTTCTTCATGAATGAAATCAATATTCAAACTATTATGTTCATAAATATTAAATGAGATTGGCTAGGTAATAGCCAAACTTTAGTGAAATCTGCCGAATGCTTATATAACTAAAACTATATGGGAAACAGAAGCCACCAAAAGCTTTAAAAAATTTGCATATGGGCTCTTCCAATTTCCAATTATTCCCATTAAAACTTTTATACATTTTTAAGTTTTTTGCCAAACTTCAATTACACCCAATGGCAGCCAGCCAGCCAGCCAGCCAATGTCTAGGTTTATATTCATTTTATCGGGTTTATTGTACGCAGTGGAGCCTGTAGCCTGAGGCATTTGAGCGATGTTGATGTCAATGCACTTGTCGCCTGGACGCGCTGATTGCATGCCCCATGTAGAAAGCATTTATTTTGTAGGCCCAAGCCGCATCTGCTCTCTCCTTCACGCTCTTACACGCACTGCATGCAAATTGACTTCGTTGTCGTCGTCGTGGTCGTCACTTGCGTAATTAAACCCCCTCGCAAAAGTCTGAGCCGACGAATGCGGCGACAAGTGCATCAACCATTACGCAAAGCAATTACCAAATCAATTGGGCAGCCAAACAAGGCACTGATTAGAGAGTGAATATGTTCACATGCGATATACCCTGTAAGACAACCGATGAATAATGAACAATTTAATGGGGCATAAGTTACACTTTCGTATACCAAGTTTATGGTTTAAATTATTATTTAAAACGAGATGTAGGAGATATAAGAAAATCTAGCACAGAATATTTTCAAAAAAGGTAGGTATATCTCTATAGTCTTTGATAAAAGCCATTTAAATAGAAGTAAGAAATATTAGAATTGTGATTTTAGATTTGATGACATCACTTTTCAATTTTACTTTCAATAATAAAAATGACTTTGGAAAATTGAAGTGCTGTCGAATTTTAAACGTAGTCTTACGTTCAGTCGTTAGGTCTGTTTTCTAATATTAATTTTTCAAATATTAACTAGTTAAATTTGTACGTTAGCTGATTATGCCTTTCTATATGTATTTAACAGACAGTTCAACTACCTGTTAGCTATTGAATATGAAAATATTACGATTTTAATTATATTTTTTACCAAATTTATGGGATTTCGTTAACACTACAGCAAAATGCAATTAAACTGAAAGTCAAGCTTAACCAAATTCCTACAAACGTGAGTTTCCATAAACATGAAAGCGCCGTCCGGCAAGATTCCTCAATAAATTGTCAACAATTTTCTGACTGGCTTCGTAGCGAGTTCTTCTTTAGCTTGTTCCGCAAACGGCAGATAGACTTTCAAGCAGAGTGGCTAAAAAAAGATATGGGCGTTGCGTTAAACAAGCTAGAAATCTTGTTCATATCAGTCAATATAGGCGCGATCTATCAGTGGATATCATCTCCATCTACAGAGTCCAACACGCAAATTTGTTGTAAAAAAAAAAGTGGCAGGCAGGCAATGGAAAGCCTCAACGTCCAACCGCAGCAATAACAACTAGTCCAGCTGCCAGGCAAGGCGTGAAACTTGAGCAGAAGGCCTCATCACCATCATCATCATCATCATCAAAAGGCGAATGTTGGGCTCGGTTTGGGGCGCCACCATGAAACGTGATGATTTCATATGCCTGGCCATGCAATTGAAGCGCTGCCAAGTGGCATGCGGCGGCTGCTGTTGCTGCTGTTCACTTTTCTTGCGGGCTACTTGTCGCTGGTTATGGTTAATGGCTAATGTTCGATGGCTATGGTAATGGCAATGACCGTTGATTTTGATATGGCAAAGCAATGGCATCACCATGCCCGCCCATCACCATGGCATGCCTACGAGTGTAGCCCCACAATGTCACTTGAGTGGTGCAACCCCCAACAGCTGGTTCACCACTCCATCCCCCCATCCCACACACCGCCTGCAAGCGAACAATTTAAATTGCAACAATGCAGCCGCCTTTTCATATAAAAGAAAAAATCTTGAGCCGCTTAAATGAGCAGCACAAAAGCGCTTGGCAGGCAAATGGGGGGGAAAATTGTATCTTTTTTGCTTCGCTTTGAAGTGAATTGGAAACCATTGAAGTGGTCTGCATCAGCAGTCTGCCGAGAGTGATTTGCATTATGGGTATATGGAAAAGTTTTGACTACGTCTGGCGAACTTTTGACCCACACTTTTAGCCACCAAATGTTTTCCAGTTGTTATTTTGATATCGAAAGAAATACTTGTGTGCACAGTAAATTCTATGCCATCTAAAGATATCTCTGCGTAGAAATTGTGTTACAGTTTTTCAAACAAAATTCCAATTGACCGCTCCTATAAAATGTTTTTGTATTGATGCCAATGTTTTTTACCAAATGGCCAAAGTGGCCCATAGTAAAAACAATAAGTGTTTTGCATTTAACAAGAGCTTTCGTTTTTCCAATATATTTTTGTTTTACTATAGTGGATTTTACGGATGGCTTTTATGGCAAATATTAAATATTAGTCTAAGAAGCAAGACGAATCGAATAACAGATTGTGAATGCCAAGAATTTTTTATGTTTATGTTTAATTTTGCCATATTTTCATGGCTCGAATTAATTTTAAAAAAGTCAAAAATTTAGTTATATCTATAAATGGCTCATCCAAAAAAGGGCTTTTTCTATGCATCTGTGCAAACATATTTCCTAAATTTGTATTGATTGGGTTTCTTCCTGTTTAATCAAATAAAACAGCTTAAGTAAATTAGGTCATTTAAAAAAACCAGTGTTGTTCAATTCTTGGCTGCTTTTCGCCAATTCCCATGATTAAGAGGTAGTAACTTTTTAAATTGTTGTTAACTTAGTGGCTGTCTTTCGTCAATTTCCAAAAGAATACGTAGACACTTTTTAAAGGCATTGAAAACTGAAATAATTTGATTTAAAAATTGTCAGAAACTCAGCGAACTGTCGTTAAGCAGAACTTTAATCACTCATCTTAGGCCTTGAAATATCAAAAACTAAATTCATCAGAGACTCTTAAATTATATGGCAATAACAACTTATAAATAATGAGTGCTTTAATTTAGAAATAAATGTGTATAATATATATATATATAAATATGTATAAAAGCGAATTCTATAGAGAATGACACACGCTCTGCTGCAACTTCCTTTTGAAGCGCTTCATATCATTGTAAAACTTATATATATGCAAAGAAAATATTTGCAGCATGAGCTGAGAATTTGCATGTGAACTTGAGCCATAAAAGGGGCACAGAATGTCACTGATAAAAAAATTGCTTTGCATAGCAATGTCATCATACAATGCACTTGGTAGTTTCTTGTGTGTTTGGTTGTGTGTGTGTGTGTGTGTACATATTATTGCGTTTATATAAAGTTTCATTTTATCATTGTGACCATTTTTCCCAAGTGACGCAGCGGAAAAGGCCGCAAAAGGTGGGACGCTTTTGTTTTGGTCAAACGCCAGAGCAGGTTTTGGTTCAATGAACCCGATACTTTTGGGCCGACAAATATGTACATAGGTGTAACTGAAAACGTGTTAACTGGACTTTACTTTGCCATCATTTTAAATGTGAGGACAAGTCAGCAAAATTATCAAGTGGAATTTGATCATTTCTTGTTGTTGGGAGACCATATCACATAATCACAAGCGGCAAATTCCAATTGGTCTTTTGAAAATCTCTCGCATAATTTAAAATAGCATTGAAAATCAAAGTGACAAAGTTAAACTTTCTAAGCTGCCCGACAATTCTATTGAATTGTATTTGGAATGAAATTAGCTTTTGTACCATGGCAAAAAAATAAATAAATTTCACCCAGTCTCTGTCGTGGTCTTAAATCTCAAATCTCAATACAATTTGCTGGACGATTTTTAAACGAATTTACATGCGCGATTTTCCATACAAGAGGAAGTTTGTCATTAGTAGTCGATAATAGTTCGCATTCAAGCGCCAAACACATTCGATTGTTTGGAGTCATTTATTAGATGGCTTTTTGTTCATTTGCGCACAATACGATCCGATGTCGAGCAACTGCATTTTATTTAAATCATTTCATATAATGCCAATTGACATGGCATTATATGCAAAACATATTATAATGCACTAATCGCTTCACATTGCGCAACATGCGAGTGGATAAAAGTGCCGCAAGACTTTCATTCGATTGCATAATACTTTTCATATTGATGGCACTGGCTACTGTGTAATAATTTATCAGAATTATTATCGATCGATGAGAAAGTAAATGTTTGCCATAATCACAACTGCAAATCAGCTTTTTTTTATTAATGCCGGATTTATTGAAAGGAAAGTCTCTATTTTTCGGTTTGAAGTAGCTCACAATTTGCAACTTATATCAAATTGTATTTATTATTACAATTAAATCTACCAATTGTGTATCAAAGTTATGATATTTCACGCAACGATTCTGTGAACTTTATGATTCAAGAAAATGTATCTTTCTTGACCTAAGCTACAAGTTTCGGTAGACCAGTGTCGCCATAAAGATTAAGTTGGGAGCCTTGGGCGGCTTTGGGTTCTTGAAACTCGTTTGTGGTTTTTCTTGTTGCTTGTCGAAATGCCAACTTGAGTAGATTATGGTGGGTGTGTCGGCGTCGGCATCAGCGTCAGCGTCTCGGCACCACTCCATGTTGCAAAAGATCACGCTGCAGCTTTAGAGGTTTATTCAACTCTCCCTCGACTGTCTACAATTGAGCAATTAATGAGTGACATTTACTTTTGGCCATCTGCTTAATTAACGCTTATTTCATACAGACACAGCTGCATAGGAAAAGCAGAAAAGTGGCTCCTTGAGTCTTGACCATAATTAGCCAGTCGACAGTCGACAGGCGCTGACAGGTTCTTGTCTCGTAGTTTTACAAGTATTTATGACAGCGTTTACACAATTGAAAGTGCTAAGTACTTTTTAGAAAGTAGCCGCATCTATCGAAGCAACTATTGTATTGTGTGTATACACAAACTTATGATATGAACACACACACACACATACCCAATTATCCAGTAGAAACAGCAACAGCACTGAAACTGTCAACTTTCCCAAGCAAACAGCAAACGATTAAGATTGAAGACGTCGCAATATTCTTGCCACAATACACGCTTTTTTTATAATAATTGTTATTAAATCGTGTTTCATATGTGCTTGCTTTTCTTTTACTTTCTTTAAGACTATCTTGAGTCGTGCTTAATTATTTTCGCATACCCTTTAGAATTATTAAAAAGGGGAGTTAAACTATTTTAAAAGTTTCTCTAAGCCGATTTTGATTCTGATAGATACAAATGCGCTAAGAAATCAATATGCCTGTTGAAACTCGATACTAAAGTGTCTTATTCTTAACATAATTTGGATTTACACACAGGGTGTCTGCCGGTTGAGCAATTTCAAGTCAAGCTGTACAACTTGTTTCTTGTCTTTTTTGTTGTTTGCTGCACATGACCAAGAATTGAAAAACTATATGTGATATTATTGTTGTAGTAGTTGTTATAATCGTTAGTGTTGTTTTTTGTTAAATACTATTAGCTGCTACACTTTGGTCGCGTGGGAATTTTGTGTTTGTACATTTTGTGCTCTTTCTACTCTTTATTGCACTTGCTTTTCAAGTCTTTTTTCCACTGCTTTTGCTTGGAAGTTGTCCTCAAGGTTGACCCTCGGTTGAATTTCTAGTTCTCTAAAGTCTTGTTGTTGCTGCTCAGCCCGTCAACAAAGCAGTTGAGCAATTGCCGCTGGGCTTACTGCGATTTCGGAATGAGGTAGCAAAAGTTGCCCAGCTGGCAAGTATTCAACACAATAACTGACACATTTGACCTTGAGAGGTTAATCTGCAGACAGCTGGCATCGTTATGCACCTGTAAATGAGGTTGTTAAACTACTAAATATTTTAGAGCTAACAGAGATTCATTCACAGGAATTTGGTCGTTACTCAATCTAGCGTTAAGACTCAATCATTTTATCATTGCTTATATCGGTAATCCATCCACTTTAAAGAGAGCAATGCGTAAGACAAACATTTTCTCCATCTGCCACATAGCCACGCCCTGGAAAACAAAAAGCACTCCTCTAAAACCAATCTGGAGATCTTTTTTTTTTATAGGTGCCATCGCACTTTTTACAATCTTAATCCCAACTCTCCCCCCGCCAGATACCCTTTCTCTTTGCTCAGCTCACACTTTTGTTATTTGCAGATGTCTGCAACTTTTGTATGTTGACAGCGTAAGTTGTTGTTGTTTACAACTGTCTCTTCTCGTTATTGTTTTCGTTGGTGTGTCGCTTGTGCACTTTGCTCTATTGCATAATAGGCAAACAAACTGCAGTCTCCCATCTGGAGCAGCAGCAACTTCAATATTAATTTAACTCCAAGTCTCATTATACTTGCTTGCAGGCTCTCTACAAACTTTATCTATATGACAATATGTGATTAGAAACATTGCCGCATTGTAAAATGCATATTCCCAGCTGCACAACAATCATTTTTTACCACCATTTCCCCAATTGTCAATATTTGTGTGCAAATGTCATTAACTTATGTATTGAAAATGTGTTTGTATGTTGTTAGCACTTGCCATAGAAATTTGTACTCGAATCTGTAGAGTTTGCTGGCAAATATTTAGTATTCAGTATGGCACATTAGAATCGCCATTCTTTGTTGTGTTTCAAGTCTCGAGTTGACACAGTTACTCAAAGCGAAAAAAACAACAACAAACAACAACAAAAACAATAGTTAACTCGCTTCCGTATGGAGCTCTGACAATACAAGCTTTTGTCTCTGAGTCAGAAAGTTTAGATCTGTTCTGTGTTTCGAGTGGATTTCATTTGCATTCGCATTCTGCCTTTAGTTCTTTTTATCTTTTCTGTGTAAATGGGTAAGGGTATGTGAACACACAAATGACAATGCGACATGTGACATGTCAGCGACCTTTACTTCTGTGATTTATCACAGAATCTCTTCTGTTCATATCTGTGTTTGCGTGTTCAGAGCTTCACTTTGCTGCCACTGTCCTAATTCAAAGAGACATGAACTACAATACACCAGCTAAGGTCTGCAAGTCTGCAAGTTTCATCAGTATACAGTTAGGGCGAAAGTTTATTATGGTAATGTTTTTATGATATCAAATCATGTGAATGATCTTCATTAATAAAAATAATTCCCCTAATTTTTTTTGAAAAATAATACTCTGTTTATTAATATTACATTGACTTTTAGTCTAGTAGGAGAAACTAGCTGAAAGGTATTTTACAAAATTTAACAACTTTTCTACAATAAAGCAAAACAAAACAGCTGCAGTATTCGCACCTTTCACTTAGTTGAACGATCACTTCTGGAGTTTCTCCTACAACTTTACAGAAATGAGTTTTTAACACCTTTGAATATACTTGTTGTTGTTCTTTCACTTGTTGTGTGTACCCACATGTATAAATAATCGAAGCGATCCACAACACGTTTGTTTATCAAACATTTCGAATTTCTACGCTTCTCAAATTTATTTATCAGTGCCGCAAATCTGAGGCAAGCTCATAAATTAAGATGCCATTAAGTTTAATAATCTGGCAAACGCGTCGAATTCGCGTTATGGGTCAAGTGATGCGGCCAACACAAAGCATTTCCGCCGAAAACAAATTTCTTGTTGCTTATGTATACATGGAATATCTCTATTTGTGTGGAAATGAGAACCAAAAATTCCCCAGAAAAAAATCTAAACAAGACTATTTTTCAGCGCAAAAATGTGCGAAAATTTAGTTTGCTTTGTGCGCACAAAATATTTGTTATAAAAGTTTTAAATTTGTTTATTTTTTTTTAGTGTTTTGTTTTTCACTTTGGCATGCCGCTGTCGACAATTGTGTCATTTCCATGGGATTTTGCAACAATAATAATATGGACGTGTATTATCAACAATTTATATTATTAGCATCAATTGGATGCAACGGTTTGTGGCGCGAAGGTTTCTTTCCTCGGCCAATTTGTTGCCCAAATGGAGCATTTGGTGGCCATGACTTAAATAGTTAACAGAGCCATAAACCATAAAACTGAGTGCACCTGCAGTTTTACACTTTTTTCTCCATTAAATTGAAATAGAAAAGATAAAAACTTGACTCATTCTTAATAATTGACAGCAGTCATAGGAAACGAGTTTCGTATTCGAGTTTCGAGTTTCGAGTTTTTCCACAACAGACACCATTTTCAATGTCAATATTTGCACGACTGCCAGCATTAAATAAATATAAAGATGTATCTTGTGCTTACATTTATGTACAGCATTATTAACACGGCTCTTAACGCTTTTTTGCATGTGGAAAGTGAAGAAAACTAATGGAAAGTGCTTGAAAATGATGAGTTGTGATTATCACTGCGGCATTTAATTATACATGACTTGAGCATGACATGCATGAATTAATCATTCAGGAACTCATCTTGATGTGCATATCTAAGGACATTGTGTGACAGCTAAGTGAAGGTCAGCCGCTAGAGAATCAATAATGGACTGACATCAAGTGCAGAAAAAAAGAAGGAAAAAAAATCAGGTCAAATATTTTTGCCGTCGTTGTTAGCGATTGACATAAGACTGTTATGCATTATTAGATGTAGTTGGAAGTGGGTTATGGGGCTGGCAATTGTTATATCAATTTGCTTTACCAAAATGGAGAGACTGCGCTGATAGCTTCCAGGGCAGTGTAGCTAAAATGATAGAAAAGAATTAAGAGAAGCTTGGGTCAGTACAAGCTAAGTGTTAAGTATGTAACTGCTTAAGCAATTTATATATAGTTTGGATATATACAATATATAGTTTGTGTATAGGCTAGACTATATATTATGAAGGAGGGCCCATAAGACCATATTAAAATTGGCTACAATATGTAGATACTTATTTTGGACAGCTAGGCAGAATCAAGTAAATATAGCGCTCATTAAAGCACAAAAAACATACGTCATACATATATAAATATTTATATATATACATCAAATATACGCATACAAACAGCAAAAGTTCAGAGGCGATTCTTCCGCTGGGTTGAACTATGCCAGACAACTGAACAACACGAAAATACACAAAACACACAATAAAGAATACACGTATACCTTTATAGCAATAATATATAGAGAGGCAAACAAATAAGCATGATTTTTTTGGGGTTTTAAACAGGCAAATACCCTGCTAAGGCGGCGCTTTAAATGTGTAATATGAAATAAATAATAATCTTAGATTGTAACAAGTTGGAATGCTTTTGAATGCATGCCGATAGTAGTTTACTCAATATGAAAATATGTTTTGGTTCATAAAATGTGCGTTTTTTATTCAATACTAATTTTTTATTAGTATATTTTACATTATTTTTATTGTTATCGGATATCGATTTGAGTCGATATTCGCCAAACAAGGACAGTAACCGATAAAATGAAATAATTTTGATCTGCGCCGATATACGAGGAACTTATATTCCAATTTTCTCTAACTTTAATAGTTTCTGATCTACGTAAATCGACTCTGCTGATAAATAATATATATACTTCATGAGGTCGGAGATGCTACCTTCTACTTCATTTTGCACAGACTCAATACACCCATTTATCCGTTTGTAATAGTTTCATTGTATACAAATAATTATGAAGTAGTGTATGTTTTCCATTTTATTTACAATAAAGATTTACTATCTATCCGAGCAACATCAATATTATATTGATAATATTGAATCTTCTCTTCAGTAGAGCCCACAGCTAATCTACCCAATTCAGCAGCGCTCAGCAGGGAGTGCAAGCAAACAGAGCTGGAACAGTTGAGCCGTGACAAAAGCGCTGAACACGTGAAGCGTCTCTTTCGAAAACAATCAGACAAAATGGGTAATACGAGTGTACAGTCGTATGTATATAGGTATGTATGTATTTATATATGTATAGAACGATTAAATAGAGGAAGTGCTAAGACAAATACATGAATATATAAATAAATAAATCTGTATATGCATGTGGGCAGAACAAGTCTAGCAAAATGCTAACAGCTCTATACAATATAAGTTACAATTATATAAAAACAAATGCCGCTAATAAAATTACTACACATAATGTTCATTTAATATGCGTATATATGTAAATATATTCGCGCAACTATTCAAATAGTCGTTTAACACTCAAGTGGCACTCAAAGAGAAGCTGCTTAGCTCAGTTGAGTTCTATTTATTTATGTGGCGCGAAATTTTGGGCCTGTTTCTCCTGTTTTTATTGTACATTAATGGAACGCTGCTTATAATGCATGTTTTTTGTTTGTTGTGCTCAACATAATTGAAAGATGAAGTCATGTCCAAAGGTGGGCAACCAAAAAAAAGAAAAAAATGAAACGAATGAATGAATTTTGCTGGGGCATACGACTTAGGATAATGTTTATTATAAATCAAATATGGAAACGTTTTTAAGACCAAAGTGAGAATTATGAAGGCAAACAGGCGAATTTGCAAGTGTATATATATAGTCATATGTACATATATGTATATATAGTATATTTGTAATGGGTTTTTGTTTTGCGTTTGCATGGCTTGCAGGGCTATACGACATAATATAAATATGATAAAAATAATATATAGACAGCTGTTTTATAAATAGCACAATCATTTTTTTCAACTTAAATATTTTTACAAAATCGTGCAGCTGCTGTGCTATTGGAAACATTTGCTGAACTGAACACAACCTTATCTTTTTTGTTTTGCTAATAAATTCTAGACCCTAGAGTCGTCGACGTTATTCAAAGCTTAGACAAAGTGGCGGCTTTTATGATTTTCTGTTATGTGGTGTCATATGGCAGCTGTGTGTGTGTGTAAACAGATATGTCAACAATAAGCAAGTACTTTAATGAACATCAGGCGTCTAAATTGTGCATTTCCATGCTGGCAAATCTTGAGTGCAATGGGGAAAGTATAATTTACACTGTGTAACCAGTCAGAAATTGAGAAGGGAAGCGAGCAACTGTTACAATAAGTACTATCCACAAGATTTGTAGTGACATATATATATATGTATGAATCTGGTCTGGCCTTGTATATATTGTGATCTACTACACATTTTGTAACGACTTGGCATAAGCTAAGCAGATTTAACTAGCAGCGTTTTTAAAAGTTGCAATCATAGACTAGTTAACTAAAAAATGCCCTACTTATTAATTGCAATTCAGTATTATTGATGATTCAGCTCAATATTCTTGCATACTATGATAATAGCCTGACCCATTAAAAATGGAAAAATGGTATAATGAAGTGGTGCAAAAGTATGTAACAGGCAGAAGCAAGCATCTCCGACCCCATAAAGCATATAGATTCTTGATCAACATCATCAGCCGAGTTAATTTAACTACATCCATTTGTCCTCCTATGTTCACAAACCGATCTCAGAGACTATATGGGCTAGAGACATCAAATTTGTGGTATAAGTTCTCGTATTGTACGAATTCCAATTGATATATAATATAGCCAGACATATCAGTGATCAACTAAAAATTTCGTTAAGACCGATAATGAAACGGTGATTTTGTTCTACAAACAGTACTGATTCAGCTTGATATTCTTACTATCAATTAATTCGTGTTTATAAATCATTTATGCATAATTATGCATCATCTTATTAAGTTAAGAAATTCGAGGAAAGGTGCCAATTTATAAGCGAAAAAGTCAATATTGTAAATGCCAAGCATTACATTTGTATAAAAATAAACATACATTTCGAAAAATACATGCATAATGAATATATTATATGAGCTGCTCAAATGTCAATAAATGCAAATTTGAGGCGTATCTGGCGGAACGGGGCGTGACTTCATTCAGCCATCGAATGCAGCATTCTTCACGTGTCGCTGCTAACTGTTCCGCTAATTACATTACTTGGCCCGCAGCACACAAAATAATCATATTATGTGGAGGAGGCGAACATTAGACGCGCTTCAATGCCAATTAGAGTGAGCTCCAAGCTGAATCATGTTTGTTTTTTGGGTGGTCATAAATAGAGAGAGAGAGTGAATAGAGGGAAGGGGGGGCTGCCTCTCTAATTCAATTAGTGCGTTATAATGCGGCAAGTGAGAGTACACATTGATATTGGAGCACAAATGTGGCGAGCAGACTTATTAAGCCACAATTGTCCATTGGCAGTCAATCAGGTCATAAAAAAATATCAACACATACATATGCATGTATACTATGTATTGGGTATTTGGCCAAAAACATATGTGGTTATAAGAGTGAACGAAACCGTGTCATTCAGTTACGATGCTTGCACATTCTTCTTCTTTTTTTTGCACAAATTTCACTTTAGCTTCTTTTCGGTTCCAAATTTAGTTTTCCAAACTATCGTTTGCCTTTATCAGATGTCACATTACTTTATCAGCTGCCCTATCCATCTGCTAATCGCATTCATTAAATATATATGCTCACAACCGCTGATAATTTGGGGTCAGTGTAGTTAGATACAGAAGTTCACTGGCCCAAATTGTAATACTCTTAATTATTTGGAGCTGCGACATTCTTGATTATTGGGGCTGAAGCAGACATCGACTTCATGCTGTGGGAGACTTAAAGTTGTACTGTGTTTATTTATTAAATACATTTCAAAACATGAAGCACGACTTGTTAGAGGCGTGTCTGTGTAAATAAGCAATTGAATAATGTTTTTTGAGCGGCTTGTTTTTTGTTATTTACAGAGTATATAGCGCATATATACTGAACACAACATCTATATAATGAGGCATATTAGGGGACTTTTTGAAGTTGTGAAAATATTAATTTATACATTGAAATTATATAATCTTCATTAAATTCAATTCAAGTAATTAAAAATCAAACTATAATTTGAGAATTGATCCGCAAGGGAATGCTTATTTTTTTAAAGAATTTACTTTCAATGAAATTAATTTTTAAAATTGTTTTTGAGAATTGTCAATTTAACTTTAGCTGCATTCCACTGTGCCGCTTAAGGCAAACAGATAATTGTTTTTTTTTTCTCCAAACATGAATGTAAACAAAAGTGGAAGCTGCGGTATTTTAAATCTCACGGCCTTGCCGAGCTGGCTGCTAGCCCCTAAGATAATAATTATTATTATTAAGGCGCGTTGAGAGAGTGATGAACAACAAGTGAATAAACTTGTCCCTTGACAGTTGTTCTTGTTGTTGTTGGTTATGCAACGTTACAGTTTATCTGAACATTTCACAAACGTCATTAAAATCATTTTAAAAATATGCTTAAAGAGCTGCGAAGGAAAGACAGAGAGAGCGAGAGAGCAACATATGAGTGAAAAACGCAGATATCAAACATTTTGGATGTTTGCCAAAACTGACGCAAAATTGAATGAGCATTGCAACACTGAAAGTGAGCATAGAGAAAGAAAGAAATAAAAAAAATATTTGATGACTTGTCAAAATAGCCATACAAAGTAAATAAAATTCATATACAGCTATCATTTTTTCTGTGAGCAAGCCACATGCAAAGGGACACACCCACAACAACTACCAACAACTGCAACAGAAACAACAGGCACAGAATGAATAAGTAAATGCAACAACAGCAACTTCAAATATAAAAAAAAAAACTTACCAAAACTGCGCTCTCACGCACAACCTGAGAGACGCTCTCTCTCAGCTGTGCGGCCATGCCGGGCTTATTCAAGCCCCGCGTGAATTTACGCTCCATTCTCAATTTCCCTTCGTTCGTTCGCTCTTCTTCTTACTCTTCTTGTTCTTCTCCTTGTTGTTGTTACGCAGGGGTTAAACGGTGCATGGAGAACAAGTTGTTGTGTTGTTATTGTTGTTGTTGTTCCAGCTTTTTTGTTGGTTTTTGTTTTTGTGCTGTATGCAAAACAAGAACCGGCGACAACAGACAGGATGCGCTGCTAACTGCGCTGCCTCTGCTGATGACTAATGCGTTGTTATCCTGCACCACCTTCAAAGGACACTCAACACAGAATTCTTTTTGTTATACACAAAACTGGAACACACACGCACACACACCTACAAACTTTTAGGAAAATATTTTCGTTTTTGAACACACACACTCACACATACAGCATCCAACTGTTTTGTTAATTAACTTGAATTTATTGGCAGCTGTTTTGTATGCTATAAACAGCTTTTCGCGTTTTGTTTAAATACTTTGTTAATTGGTATTTTGCTATTCACTTTTGCTTTTCGCGTGTTTAGCGTGTGGCTTTAAGCAATAGATAAAGTGATGCTCTTAGCATTTTAATTTATCCGACGCGCACAACCGTACCGCACGAAAGTCGTAGAAGAATATTTTGCACTCTGGTCAAGTCGATAGCAGCTCGGCATCGATAACGTCGATAGACAAATATGTTGCTAAGCAGCATATGGCCAAGCACTTTCAACGCTAGCAACATTTGCTTTGCGATTAACAAGTTGGCAGCTCGGTCAATTTTAGCATAGTTATTTAACAGCTGTAAGCTAAACTGTTGCTTTTAACATAAGATTTGAATTTTTGCATTTGGTGCGCAGGATTATGCTATCAATTTTGTGTGATTTCGAACCAAATTTAAGTCTCAGATGTACTTATGCTGCATAGTTTTTTACTTGTATTTTTAAAGATATTCCTGCAATTGATTGAGAACCTGTGCAAAAATTCGTCTGTTGAGCTCAAAATGGCACTGTTAAAACACTGTTCATTAACATGAACAGTTTATGTGTATAACAGTGTAATTAACGCGCGGCACAAAATTTAAATGCTTTTTTCAAACCATCAACTGAAGTATGAGAAAATAATAAGCTAGGAAATTTCGTTTTAAGTAAAAATACTATATAAATATTTTCCATTCTCAGTTTATTTATTTTTGTCAGCTTTTTAGCGGTGCGCATAGGAAAACATACAAATGTTTGCAATTATGTACATATGTATATATAAAAGGATATATTTTGAGACGCTTAAAAACTACACAATAAAATTATTGCATTATTTTATTGGTTTATTTAAATATTTACAATAAAATATGTGTATTGTACAAAATGATAGCCGAACTCGTTGCTTTCTCTATCTCTCTCTCCTCATTTAAATCTCAAAAAGTTACCCGCTCCACCCAACGGTCCATGTCCAAAGTGGAGCGCATCTGATGTCAACTCGGATCGAGTACGTGCTTCCCGAACGGAGGCGATACGTTGCTGGCCACTGATGTAGCCCAGAGAGCCCGAGCCCAAGTACACATTGCCATTGGGCAGACGAATGTATCCCAAGCCACCTGAGCCCAATGCAACCGATTCCTGTCTCTGGCCCTGATTGAGTTGGCGCGGCTGCAGACTCAATGCCTGCTGCTCCAGGACCAGAGCATTCGCACGTGAGTCCAGTTGACGACCAGAACCAGCACTAGAGGCGGGACCTGAGCCGGCGAAGGCAGTGGCACCAATACCACTTGCACCCAAGTGTGCACGATAGCGATCAAAGAAAGTGGATTTAAGGAACGGCGCCGGACTCTCGCTGATATCATTGTCAATTATCTCGATGACCGCATACTGCTTCAGCTGTCGTCCAGAGGCGTCCACATAGGACTCCCCGGGCGAGAAGAGAGCCGTTTTGCCAAATGGAATACGCAGCGGCTGTGGAGCAGCCGGACCACTGGGCACATTAAAAGGCAGTTGCGGCTGGCCGGGAGCACTGGGCACATTGATGGGCTGTTGCAGCTGGCTGGGCGTCCTAACCACTGTCGGCTGCTGACCATGATAAGTGACGGAGGTCTGTGGCGCGGCTGATGCCGGATAGCTAACAATTTTAGTTACTGCTGGTGTGCCGGGCAGAAAGCGACTCAAAATGCTGCCCGCCGGCTGCGTTGGAGTTCGCTGTTGGAAACCATGTCCAGTGGGCAGTGAAGGCAGCGCCGGCACCGGTGGCAGCGGCTGGACCGTGGACAACGGTGCAAATTGATGGCCCGTGTAGGAGGAGGGTGGCGAGGGACCCGGCCGATCATAATGATAGCCAGCGGGCTCAGCACTCAGAGGTTGCACTACGACCACAAGCAGCAGCAACATCTTAGGCATATCCATCTTCAAACGATAGAGAGACATCTGCAAAGAGACAGAAAGAGAGAGAGAGAGAGATGTAGAGCTTGAGTATCCATAGCACATTACACACACAAACTTTCATGACATCATAATAATAGTAATAATAGCAGCCAATCAATCTTATAAATGTTTAATGAGACGCACAGACGTAAACATAATTGATGAAAATCACTTTACGTTTGCTGTTTACAGTTTACGGGTTATTCATATTCAACTCAACAAATAGGGTATGCTAACTAATGCATTAAGTTGGTTACTTTTCTCTTCAAATTATAGGATTTTAATAAAAATATCTCTCAACTATTGCAGTATTTAACATGATACAAAATATATACATTTTTGACACATTATAAATATTTGCGAATTAAAAAAAGATCCGCAAAATAAACAAAAAAAATGTATATATATAAATAAAACATGCACAAAAACACTTTTTAAGTAAAGCAAAGCTTCTTTCATAGCTAGAATAACCAGCTAGTAAAAATTTGTATTCCCTTTTCCTTCTTGAAAATCTGTCACGAGAGGAACAATCTTTAAATTATATAATAATACAATTTATATTGACATACAAGGTGGAGTCGGCTCTGTTGTTCAGCAGATTAATGGCCAGGTTGTTTGGATATGTTTAATGATTATGGTACAGGTAACATTAAAAAGTTGAGCATTATATATAAATATAATAATATATTTCAATAAAATTCAATTTATCTTCTGCAATAATTACTTTTAACTTTTATCACTTCCTTTTCCAATGTTATGCATTGATTTTCGTCCTAATTGAGTAGTGAATAAAAAGCTAAGCTTCAAGGAATGCCGACCCCAAATGGTTAAAACACAAAAACAAAATAAATTTCTTCAAATTTGTCATCTAATCAAATAACAAACATACAATCACATAAAAACACAAGTCAAAGCTACAAATTGGTTTTTATAGATGTCACAAAATTAATTGTAAGTATATATTGAAAAGCTATAGCAATAGCTAACTCTAAAAACATGATTGATTGGCTGTTTATTATTATTAAGTATTGCTTTTGTTAGGGTATTTGGAGTTTGTCAACGAGCTTGTAAATTGACTTGAGCGTTTTGCTTTTTGTTATTTAATTGATTTAATTTGTGGCGCGCGTTTACAGCAGCCACTGTGCGAGTTGTCCGCAGCTGAAGCTGAAACTGAGCTGAATTCGCGCTGTTTGACTCGTAATTGGCGTGATATTTCATGCATCGATTGTGTGTCTCGCATGTTGCCCAAGGCATAATCACAGCTATAACCACAAGTATAACCAATCGACATAATGAAGTGCAACTAATTAGCCGGCAGAGTGAAGTAAACATAAGCAAAGCTTTATTCGTCAGAGAGCAGCCAACAAAGCCACATGCAAAGTTGTCGCTGGGCGGTCATTTAATCTTAGACTTAATGGGCCTATTTAAGTGCTGTCATGTCTATTAACAATAACACGCTGGGTGGGATGGATGGAGGTGGCTAGTATTAACAGCAACAAAATTCGCGGCAGTCGTCGACTGATGATATTAATCAACACGGCGTTGGGGGCATTAAACAGTTGCCAAGCTGCCAAGTTGCAAGGTTCAAATGTGTTTGCCATTGGCTTGCGGACTAGTTGCCAACTTGTGGCGTGTGGCCAGAATTACCCTTGTTGTTGTTGTTGCTGCAGCTTTTGTTGTTGTTGGTTTAGGTTGCGCGTGGGCGTTGAGTCAGCTGCAGTTCATGGGAACATAATTCACTTAGTTGCCGTGTTTACATAAATGGCGCTTAATTAAGTTATCAACAACAACAAAAACACTAACATTGAACGTGGCGTGTTGTTGGGGTTAAAAGTTTAAAAGTTGTTGTCTTTTTTCTTGGTCTTGTAATCCATCATAATGCTTGATTATTTCAAGATAAAAATTTGTGAATGTAGTTTGATTATTTGCCAGTCAGAGCTCGTGAATTTTAGGTTTGTATTGCCTTTCAAGACTCTGTCAAAGTTCTTGTTGGTTGACAGATGTCCTTATTTGCAGTGCAACTTGCAAAAAGTCTAATTTTATTCAGTTTTCAATTAAATTTTATTCAAGTTTAAAGTTTAACTTTGTTATGCTTCGGTCTGCTATAATTCCTAGACTTATGTTTTAAACATATTTGTTCATATAGCCAACAAGGAAACCAAATTAATAAATATAATTAATTTATTAAATTTAGAATGTGCACTTACTAATGCAATTAACTGTATGCAGGGTGCGCCTTTGTCAATAACGTCCGTTGTAATTGACAAGCTTACTTTCAATACTATTTAATAGTTGACAGCTAATCATCGAGTGCAATTCTTTGTAAACAATTTAATAATAATCCGTTGAAAGTGGGCTTTTCAGACAGGTTTTATAAACTTCTAATAAACAGTTAAACTGGATTACTGCACATAAATATTATATATTAATCTGACCTTAGGATTTTCTTTATATTTTGGGCACTTTTGTTTTCGCAGAATGTTATCCAAGTGTTATCTAAATTGCTAAATCCTATAAATTTCAAGTTCTTTTTTATCGGCAAATATCTTTGCCGGCAAGTTTGTTACTTAAGTCTTTTGTTTTATGCAGTCCATAAATCAGCTGCTACGCACAAAAACAGAAAAATCCGAAAATACATATAGCTTATATAGGCTATATATATTTTCATTGCTGGTCCAGCACAAATAGATTTGTAATAAATTATGCGCTTCCAGCTCCGTAATAAATCAATAAATGTGGCCAAACGCAACTTTTTGTGCGACCCATTCGCAGGTTTTTATTTTCTTTTCGTTTTTGTTGTGCGTTTTTTTCGCTTGAGTTCTGTTTTTTTCTTATATTTTTTGCATACGCACCCAACGCATTTTTTTGTTTGTGCAGCAGCCGCAGCGTGTGCCAAAGTTGTATAGAAACACAACCGCATTCAACAACAACTACAAGAGCTGGCCACAGAGAGACTTGCAACGCGCTCGTTACGACTGTCGCCTGTGTCCAGCGTTTAGAAATAAAAAAAAAACATGCCACAAGTGAATTGCGCCTCAGGTATTCAGCTTTAGACTTCTTGGGACAGTTTATGCAATGGTCGAGCAAACAGATATACACGATAAGCTTGAGACAGAAACAAAAAGCAAGCCATAATGGATGAGTCTAACATGCATCGATATGCATAGCCGTGTGAATAAAATTGTTAAAAAATTGTATAATCTCAATTAATATATTTTATTTCGATTTTTCAAAGTAACTTACTTTTGTTTAGTACTGCATATGTGATGATTATAATTTTTGTTGATTATTATTTATTTTGTAAAATCACTGCTTATAATTTTTCTGGCTTATTCCTTTCTCCAATAAGTGCTGCAAAAATCAGATGATTATATTTAACTAGTTATTCTACCTACACTAACTAAAAATATTTGTCCAGGTAGTAATTAATTCATTTTGATGCACATATCTGTATTTTGGAAATACTAAGTAGTTTAACTTTAACTACGTTGAAATACCATTAAGTTAGAGTTAACTCTTGGCTCAAGTGTATATAGTCAACTATTCAGTTGCCACCTTCGCTGGCATTTACCATTATATATGTATGTACTTAGTAAATACTTTTCAATATTGTGCTATCAAAATTGCAATTGCAACATGGAAACACCTATTTCTCCCCTCCACCCTCTTGCCCCTATTGCAGTACACAAGTGACAACCACTGTGTGCGTGTGTGTGTGTGTGTGCGGCATAGACTTGAAAGGCACTTGGCAAAAAGGCAGACCGACCGCAGCAAGTCCCGCAAATCTAGTCTCAGATCTCTCTGGTCTCGACTCTCAGGTCTCAATTCGCGTGCCCATTTCAAACTCAATGAATGAATTGCATTGATTGAGCGACGACGTCGCACGCACCTCGCTTCGGGCTTGGGACTGGTCCATAACAACAGCAACAACAAGAACCACATCAATATCCACATCCATTTAAGCATTTTGAGTCTCTCTACGCGCTCTATAAATTTCGTTTCGTCGTTTGGATTTTCCACACGCTGCTCCTGCCCCGAACTGTGTCAAACTTCGGCGTTTGATTTGTTGTTAACTTTTGCGTGGCACTCAGCTTTTTTTTTTCTTTCTTTTTTTTTTTTTAGGTGCGATTGCATCAGCAGCATGGTCCCAGTTATACAGTATATGCGGGACGGAAATTAGATTTTTGTGCAAATAATTAAAATCCTTTGATAGTCATTTTTTTTGGGACTGCGTGCTCAGAGCGATTGCCGCTCACTTTCCGAACGGAGGCTTTGGGGCAAAATCTGGCCAAGATTGGGTCATAAAATGCAATCACTGTGCGCATATTAAGTTATGCGCAGTAGTCAGGATGTCACGTCAATTGTGCAATATTCATAGAGAGATCTCGGGGCGGGGACTTGACTTGAAAGTGCGTCACTTTTATTTGCAGTTAAATGGCGCTATGGGTTTTTTGTGGGTTGCCATGGGATATTACGACCAATGAAACCAGTTTAATAAACTGGTATAATTTGGCAATGCTACTTAAGTTAGCCAAATACTAACTAGTCGCTCAGGAGGGTGTCGTAAATTGCCACGAAATCTCATTCATCTAACCGCATGGCATTAGCCATTCTCAATTAATCATTTGGATGCACATCCTCCCAAAAATTCCACTGCAATCTGGCTACACATGTACCATGTAGATAAATATAAAAAAAAACGAGCGAAAAGCTAACATAATAATTAATTATCCCGGCCAAAGAAAAAAGTATGACGACTGTTGCGTATACGCAATATTAGCCAGCAGCAACACAGAAAAAACATCAAAAGTAAAACAAACACACAAAGCATACCGATGTGAGGATACTCTATTGCTTCGTCTGATCTGATCCTTACATATATATCTAATTTTAGAGCAAATTTAAATTTAATTGTTATATGTGTTTAGTACTAAAAGTAACCTTCAGCAATTGTGTAATTCCTGCACAAAGTAAATTCCTAAATTGCCATTTAATGAAAGATA